TGCCCTTGGCGGCTAGCGTGGGCACGTGATCGAGACGACTCGAGGGGCGACGAAGACCCTATCAGCTTTCCCAGCGCTTCGTAACGGGAACCCCAGGTGAATAAACTCCTGGTTGTTTAATAGGGCAGGCGGGAATCATCACCTTTGGAGGGGGACACTTTCTCTTAATAGAACCGGTTCTGGCTCCGGCATCATCGACCAGGTGGCTTTTGTACATCTAGATTTTACACGATGTCGAATTGCTAGGGTTAGGGAACACCACAATAACTGGTTTGTTCCCTGGATCTTGCCCGAGGGCAACAGCACGGAGAATGCAATCTGTATGTGCAGAGGTTGCAGCTGAACATGTGCCCTGTCTACTTGAACCAGCTCTTTGTTCCTGCATTTACAAAAAGGCCCTAGATGAGATAAACATATGATCAACTTCTTTAGTGGGGCACAGCTGACTTCTTTCGTTCGCACCAACTTGCAGGGTTTCTCTTTTTGGCCCCTTTTGAAGATTATCCCAGAGAATGGACAGCTCACTTTGCAAAATTGTATCGCAGAAGTGGTGCTTGACATAGTGACTAAAAGGGACCCCACTGCGCCCCACCCAACTTTGTGTGATGTCTTTACGCTCTTCAGGGTTCTCCGCTGTTCTTGTGAGGTTGTCAGCCCATATTTGCACTCCATGTGACCAGAGGGTTGGCTTTGGGATGTTGGTGGATTCCGGCTTCCCGAATCTTTCGTGCTTCTCGCTGAGTTTGCTGAGACGCAGGTTGATTCAGCCATTTGGAGCGCTTGCAAACGGGGACTGACTAGTTGGGTTTGGTGCCCTTTGACTATTTGGAATGCACCTGGCCTCAAGATCTTCCTCAACAATACCCTCAAGATGGCGATTTTTGAGTTGCACCACCCATGGTTCGACACCGTGTTCCCAGCAATGCCGTCAAAACCATGAGATACAACCTTCACTCAGGTGCAACTTCAGGTGAAATCCAGCGACTGAACTCCCGGACCCTTCTAGGAGAACAATGCCTCCCTTTGAGAATGCGGTCCCTATATTTCCCTTCTTGGGCTGTTTTAAACATCAGCTTTTTGGCCACCATGAAAGGTGAGTATCCCTTGGTGGGGGTGATGTTGTAAGGGGAAATGTGGGGAGCCCTGTTTGAGAATGCAACTCTCCCCTGTGCTGTTGGGAGTGAAGCGCCAAGCGAGCCGTTGGCGAGGCGTGTGCCTCGCGGGGTGGCCATGGTGGAGTACTTTCTCCGCACCCAGCCGGAGGACGTGGACGAGGCCTGGAGGACTCTTGCCCGAGGCTTCGGGCGAGAGCTTTACCAGGGCTCCTCAAAAGATACATTTTGTAATCATTTGAAACATGTTGCTTTTTCAACACCAAAATAAAGGGAACCCACCATTTAGAAGGCAATGTTCAGGTGTATAATGTAAGGATCCCTGTTGTAATGTAAGGATCCCTGTTTACTGCAAGGTCCTAAATAGACTTCACCTGGCAAATGTCCTTGGAGATGGCGGCAAGTAAATGGGGAAATTCTGAAACACAATGGGGTGACCCAGGGTTACGGACCACTTAGCCAAGTCCAATGAGTAGAATTGCAGCGTTGCGGGGTATTTTCAAACCAAATTATCTCGGGATCATGGCAGACTAATGTCTGTGGTTATTTGGCCCGTGTTTCCCATGTTTGTTTTTGGAGCTGATTTCTCCCTCTATTCCTGCTAGCTCCAGTTGCTGCAGCCCCAATCAACTCTGCTTTTCGGCAGGAGCAGAAAGCACTGTGGAGCCATCGGGGACTTCGATGGGTGTTGAGAGAGGACAAGAAGAACGCGCAGCCCATCCATCTCTGTTGAATGACAGACATTGACAGACGTTCTCCCGCTACAAAGGCTAGCTGAGTGTGTATCTCTTTCTTGCCAGTTGGTTCCTCGCTGCAAAGAAGCTTGCTTTGGTTTGACGGACATAGGCTTTTAACCTCTCAACTAAGAAGCCAGCACCTCCAAATACCAACCTCTTGACCACGTTCCTAGGGGATGGTTCCCGGGATGGTTCGGGGATGGTTCGGGGCTGAGGGACACTCCTGGGGCTCTCGGCTATTTCTCATGGGTTGCCCTGGTACGTGGAATCAAAGACTCAAACCTGCGGTTGGCCCTGGCTCTGCAATTTTGAGCCTCCCCCATTTTGGGGGGGACAGATTGGGGCCAGGTCCTGGTGAATTCCTTGCTGGACGTCTTCTGCAAGCTGGGCGACATGCCACGGCTGGAGGCAGGGGTTGGCCTTGCAGGAAGGCAAGGGACGGTCCGCTCATATGGGTGTGTCTTATAGGGCCCGTTTTGGTGGGTGTTAAGGGGAAGCCGAAAGGACCATTTTTTCTTTGGGCCTCCCTAATTTTAAACAAGCTCATACTTCCCCTTTTGAGTGGACTTTCAGAGTCCCATTGGTGGGCCTTGTATGGCCACAACATTTAATGGGAAACAACCGCAAAAGTGGTTGGCGGACATGAATCCCCTAATCATGTCCACTGAGGGGCGGCCCATTAAAATTTACACCCACAGGGTCCCGTTTTGGGTGGTTTGACCATCGCCTTGCAGGCCAACTATGCAGAGTCCCATTGGTGGGGTGATGCCTGAGGGCACATAAGCACCGGAAACCAAGTGAATGTCCTCTCAAATGCACAATCAACATGAAGTTAGGCAAAGGCATGATTTTTCAATGCTTATTTGACGAACCCAACTAATTAGGTCCCCTTAATGTGCTCTATGAGCAAAAGGTCAAACCCTGAACAAAACCAGGGCAGAGATTGACAGCACTGGGTGAAAAGTCCCACATTTCCTTTGGGGATTTTCACCATCAGGATAGACCATCCCACGACCAAATAGCTCCGGAGCAAGGTGCTTCCCACAAGCAAATAGGTGTGCTGGTTTTGAGGGTACCCCCTTTTGGCTGGTTTTCAGGGAACACCAAAAAGGAAAACATGTTTTTTCCCTAGATCTTTTTTTTTGGGGGGGTGCCCTAAAAAGAATCACACCTGTGTGCTCCTTGCTGCTTATGCATCCAACATCTGCTAGGCGACCCTCGAGAAGATGCGGGAGTATGGCATTAAGGGCTCGGCGGTGACCTATGGCACCATCGTCAAGGCGATGCGAGTCGTCGATTGGTTTGGGTTTACTACCATCCATTTGCGTTTCAGACTATTGTTTATTCTTCCCAGTTGCTATCCGGCCGGCAGTATGTCGCCTTCTCGCGAATGTGGAATCATTTTGATACAGCTAGTCCCTTTGATCGTGACCATGACACTTTGCTTGAAGGGAATCTATCACTGGACAAATCTTTGTTTTTCTTGTGGGAACCCAGCAAATGGAGGCTACGAGCTCCGGGGGAACCACCAACATGTTCCCACTGAGGGAAGCTAGTGATTTTGACTGCTCGCACGGGTCGTAAATGCCAAAGCCCTAAGGAAAGTGTTGTTGCAAAGTTTGCTTTTTTGAGAGAGCATCCTTTGTGCTGACATTTCAGTTGGATACCAAAGGGAACCCAACAACTGTGAATCCTACTTGCGGACGCAAACCCCTTCCCTTGGTTTTACGTTTACACGTTTACGCTTGATGTTTGTGCAAACCTGTTTCACAATAGATTGACTTTCTGCTGAGATGCAAGGAGCCGTACAGAGCCGCCTTTGCACGAAAGCAGCTTTCCCAGCGCTCGCGTAGCTTGACAGCCAGACAGGATGACACGAGGACTTCTGCGTGGTTGAAATTTTCAAGAGTTGGCATCGTTCCAAGGATCGGGTTGGTAAAGACGGGTTTAGCAGATGACTTCGCCCTTTCGCTGGGCAAGTGCCCAATTTCCAACTGATCTCCCGAAAGGAAGTTGGGCAGACGCATACAACCACCGAATTTCGTGGAGATTGTCCTGGCAATCCTTTGAATCGACTGCCCTGGTCGCATTTGGCTCGAGGCTCAAAAAGAGTCAAGAGCCGTCGAACGCAACTCCACGCAAGGCGCACAGCTCGGGTTTGCTTAGTTCGGCCCCAGGACCTTAGGCCTTGGCCCGCTGCCCGCTGTAAAGCAGACCAAAAGGCATGCTCTTGAACAACGGCGCTTTAAGCCTGTGCAAACAAGGCTTTGGCCCAACCCTTGACCAGCTGCAAAAGCCGGCTTTTGGGTTGCTAGTTTAGCGACACTTTCGTCGTGATCCGAACAAGCTGAAGGGCAACGTCAGTCACGAAGCGCAACCCGTTTCTGGCCCGCCATTTTGAGGTTTGAGTTCCCTTTTTGATCTCAAGGGACGGTGGAACCCCCATGGATGGTTCTTTTCCCCCCTTTGGAGCCAAAACAGAGCTCCTTCAAAGATAAATTTTGCCTAGTCGAAACATGGCTTTTTCCACCAAAATATAGGGACATCACCATTTACCAGGCAATGCTCAGGTGTATAATGTAAGGATCCCTGAAAAGCAAACCCTGATTTGAGTCATTCTGGGATGCCACCAGCAAACATTGAGATGCCCAGGAACCTGACACAGCATGGTTTGGTGGGAGGGGATACAAAAGGAGTTCTCCCCAAGGGATGGGCCGTTTTTTTTTTGCTTTCTAGGTTTGGGAAAAACCACTTTGAGTCCATGGTTCAACAGATGCGACTGTTGCAAGCGATGAGGTCCTTTGTTCGATCCTTGTCATCAGGTCCGGGCTTGCAGAAACGAGGTTTCGGGCTTGTCGGCCCCTTTTGCCGTGCTTGTGAATTCCAAGGCGGGCAAAAAGTGTGAACTTGTGGGAGACAGGTTTGCTGTCCATTTCTGTGCCTTCAAGTCAAGACGCCTAAAGCCGTGCAGTGGAGATTCATTTCCTCATTTGTGAGACAGCGTCATGTGGTTTCTTTTGATTTGGAGCCATATTTTACAACCCTGTATTTTGGTTTCCCGAAGAACCAAGCCCCAAATATAGATTTTTCGGCACCAAGCAACACACACACACACACTGGTGGCCGACTTCGCGTGGCGGAAGCTGAGGCCATGGCGAGCAAAACACGCGTGGCCATCGTCGGCTCGGGCATCGGGGGCTTGGTGTTGGCCAAGACGCTCACGCAGTACGGGGCGGACACCGTGGAGGTGTGCTCGTGGAAGTTGGGTTTCAGTGAGACTCGCATTTTTTTTCCGGGTTGGTCGTGAAGAACTGATGGTTTTGGTTGCCACCTGTGATACCAGCAAAAATCAACTCAAAAGTGACAAGTAGCGATAAAAATAGCCCACTGTAGCACAGAAGCGGTCATTTTCCACGATGTTCTGGTTTCCCTTTGAACTACTCACTTCCATTGGACTCAAGAAGGGAGAGACAACCATAGGCCGATTCCGAGTTGGAAGGTAAGCTTGCAGATTCTCCTGTTTTCGAACCAGCCATTGACGGGGTGTCGAATGCTGTCTTGCTCCCCATGGAAACCTCCCCTTTGGTTTTGCTCATACCCCGAAACACCAGGTTCATTTCGTATGTGTACTCTCTCTCTCTCTCTCTCTCTCTCTCTCTCTCTCTCTCTCTCTCTCTCTCTCTCTCTCTCTCTCTCTCTCTCTCTCTCTCACTCACCCATTGGGCGAATCGTCCCTTTGACCTTTCGGTTGTGTGATGTCAACCGCTTTGCTCCATCTCAGAGGTTTGCCAATGTTTCCAACTATGTACCTTAAACAACTCTCGACAACTCACCCACATCAGCAGCAAGCAGATTTGAGCTTCGGGGAAAACACAACAAACAACAGCAGTAGTCAATAGTCCTGGGGGACTCACTAAATTTCCCACACAACCGGGGGATAAGCCCAAATTGGCCCATGCCTTGGCACCACCTGGTGGGGAAACGCCACAATCTTGAGGTTTGGAAGGTCTGGATGGCAAAGGTTTGGCTTCGTCAGCTGCCCCACCCCCCCGGTTTGAGGTTTGGAAGGCACGGCACTGAGGTTTGACTTGGTTGGTTCACCCTACCCCCACCCACTAACAGTGGATGATGGAAACTTAGATCAACCACCACTTTAAAATGGTCTTGCAAATTGTGGTGACTGTTAGTGTTTGGGGGCAGGGTCCAAGGTTCACCAATGTCTCGTCAAAGAACCGCCGACTCGTCTCCCTGAGACGAGTCGAAGGCGTCCAGACTCGTAGGTGAAGCTCTACGAGGCCTGGGACGAGTGGAAGACCCGCGGGGGCTCGCTGGGGGTGCAGCAGGCGGTGCTCATCCTCGAAAGGCTCGGGTTGAGGCGCGTGGGCCTTGGGGCTGTGGGGGGTGGGGGGAGCAGGGGGGGTGTGAGGTTTGGGGAATCTGGGGGCGGGGGCAAAGCGCTGGGGTGGGAATCAGGGTGTTTTGAAAAGCAATCCGAGTCAATGTCGACCTTGGATTAGTAAACCCGTCCTGCCAGTAGAGGGGGGTTCCTCGGGCAGTGAACCCCCCCCCCCCGCGAAAAAGGGACACCTCCGTCTCTCAAAATCAGCCAACGGTCCATTTGAAAAGACGAACTCCCTTTGCCTGGCCTTTGATCAGAACCCTAAGGTTCATTCGGTGGGCTTCTTCTGCGTTTGGGCGCCAAATGATTGACTGATTTCTCGGACGGTTTCATGATTTTCCCAGGGAGGCCTCTGGTTTCCTCCCTGACTCGCTCGTCTTGACTCCTTGCCGGCCGAAACGGCCTGAGGGAGACCTTCGACACACTGGCGAACCGGCCCTCGGCGGGAAAGTACTACAGCGACGGCAAGGCGGCGAGTCTTTTTTTTCTTGGAGGCAACCCACGAACCCGGGAAAACCCATGAAGCGATGGCAAAAAAGGCGCTGACCCGCCTCTTCCACTCACCAGCCCTTTGTCTGGTTTCCTTCAAGTCAGGGCGTATTAGGCTCTTATTTTGGGGACACATTTTTTCTTCGCATCCCGTCCCAGGGGAAAGAAAAGGTTGAGGTTGAGGGAGGGGAGCGGGGGGGTGGTCCTATGATTTTCAGCGAGCGTGTTTTTGGTGGATGGAGCAGAAGGTTTCACAGATTCATTGCCCGCTTTTTTGTTTTCCAGATCGGTATGTGGGTATGGGCCAAAATTAAACCACCAGGGGACCGCGGGTTTTGGTCCACGTTTCCCAGGCTGCCATTTTGGGTACCTATTTCTAACCCACTGCCATGTGACAAGATTTAACGAGTCGGAGGTGACGGGACGCATAAAAAAAATGGCGGTATTCCTTTGGGCCCCCTAACACAGGGTGCCCTCAAAAGCCAGCACCCCTATGATTTGTCCTTGAGTCGAGGCTGAATGTTTGGCCAGCATACCAGATTCCAGCATTTTCCAGAAGGTTTACTCCCACCAAGCGTTTCGAGGGTGCTCCCCGCTGTAACCTGCAGACAAAAATGTGCCAAAGGGCTTTTTGCTGTTTTCAGGTCTCCAAGCCTAAATATGGTCTCAAAGAAAAAATAAGACATGATCACAAGCGACAAGCTCTGATATTACTCAGCATCTCTATTCATTTTGCTCTTGTTTTTTGCTTCTTTGGCATATTTTCAGCATTTTTCAGTCATGGCACCCCTCAAAGTGTATGGTTCTATTGCCAATTCCCATAGACAAGTGAGGTTGAACCCTTTGGATCCATTTGCACATCTGCGCAAATGAATGTTCGACCTATTGCCTCGGAAGCTTGCCGTACCATGATCCATGTGGTTGATCAAATTCCCCTCGGCCCCCAGTTTACGGGTGACTTTTCCCACCTTCGCATCCACCCCCGTGTTCACCAGAAAGTTCCTCATTCTTCCTGAGCCGCGGGGCTCAAGCTTTTATCACTGTCAGCAACACGGGTCTTTCGGATGAGAAAAGAGTAAAGCTAACTTCCACGTGTCTTTTGCGTAAAGGGCAACAGAAAGCAAAGCCAAAGCGGCCGTGTTTTTGGGGTCAAACCCATTTCGGGACACGACCGGGAAGTAGCTTCGGGAGATCAGGCCAGTGACTGCAGGGATGTGGTCCAACTGGATTTCCCTCAAACGGAAATTTGTCAAAAACCGCGCCTAGTGGATGGACCTATTTCGTACCACCTAAGAATCGTTGTTTCTGATGATGGTTTCCCATGGTTCCAAGTGGTGCAGGATTTTGTCTACCCACAGTGTTGGCAAACTGAAGGTATCCGCAAAGTGGGAATGGGCCCTTGGGGGTTGGTGTAAGAGCGGCGAAAGGAATGTGACAAGCTTTGGTTTCCACATTTGTTTTGGGTGGGCTCTTCCTGTCAACAATGTCTCTGTTTTTCCTTAGATGTCTTCTAAACCGTTTTTGTCTGTTTGTTTATGCATCCTTTAAAGAGCCCGTACAGAGTTTTCAAGCCACCAGTTTTGTAGCGGCTGGTTCTTTCGTGCTGCACAAGGTTTTAGGCCTACAGCCTGTCTAAAAGTTGCGTCTCTGTCTTCGTTGGATGGATCCGAAGTGGTTCGGAGCTCCGGGTTAGGCTAGGCTTCTGGAAGGGTGTGAAGGGCTTCCGGCGGGAGACACCGAGGCTTCTGCGCTTTGTTTTCTTCCCCAGGGATGCGGTGCTTTTTCTTTCTCTACGTTTGTCTTAGGTCTGGTTGGCGTTGAGACTGAACGTGCCAGATTGTTTTATATTATTTTTTAAATGAGGAGGTGACGGACGTGAACTTGGCGGATCCGGACTTCGGGGGCATCATCATGCGCCAAGACCTGCAGAAGCTGGTGGTGGACTCCCTGCCCCCGGAGGCGAGCTGCCGAATTCGCTGCGAGCCAAAGAACATCGAGCCGGGTTTTTGTTGGGGAAAATGTAGCATGAAAACATTGTATAGATGTTGGATTAGTTTATACCGTAGTTTATACCCAACGTATGTTGCACCCTTGCCGGTCCCCCTGTTTGCGACAAAGCAAAAGCAAGCAGGTAACCCGGAAGTAAGGGTTTGGATTGCTGGTTCTTTTCAGTTAGTCAAGTGGTTCATTTAAGCCACAAGTTACACTTTTAGCAGATGATCTGAGGACAGTAAGTGGGAACCCCTTAGCTTCCAATTCAAGCCACCAAGTTGAAGCAAGGGGAAAGCAGTTCAACAATTCAACATGAAACCCAAAAAGAGGGGTTCCCAAAATGAGGAACCCCGAGATTAAGCACGACCCTTGCTCGACTTTGAGAGCGGGGGTGTCCCCATTTTGGTTCCAACCACTTTGGAGGGAAGCACCCTCCTAGTAGGACACGCTCATCAATCTGTCAACATTAAGGTTCCTTTGTCAGCCCAACCCTGGTGCAGAGCTGTTTAGGGGTTTTTGCTGCACAATTAGGTCGACCCGGATTAGTAAAACCTGCAGCTGATTACCGAGGTCTGCTACAAAACTATGTGTCATGTTTTACGCTTGACTGAGTATGGACCATACTTCTTCTTCTTCTTCTGGGGGATCCATATTTGGGCCAAGTGTAAGTAACGTTTGTCGTCCTTCAATGTAAATATGTCAAAGCATAGCCACAAAGCACAGAATCTCCCCCATACAAGGGAGCGGTATCTGCAACGGATATTGATGTATGACAACATATCATACCTCGCAAGTAAAGGATCTATACTCCAGCATGTATACCTTTCCGGGCCTGGTTCAACCCATTTTTGTGCAGTTGCTTTGGATAGAACATTGGCAGGCGCTTTGTAGCAACAGGGGTCCCTATATTCTGCTTCGGAGGTTTTAAGCATCATGTTTTTTACCATTGAAATTAGTTTCCAATCGAAGCCAAAAGGAAGACCACACAGTTGCGGGTCCTCTACTTTCAGACACACCGGACACACTACCAGTTAACCCTTCATGGTGGTCTGGGTTGTCTTGCTTGGGTTTGAATTGGTTCTTGGATTTGGAGTAGATGGGAAACCGCCCGAATATGGAGACCCCTGACCATTATTTTACAATCAATTTGGCCGACCGGGAGCAATGGAGGTGATCTTCCTGGGCCACAAGCTGGAGAAGATTGTGGAAGACGACAAGGACGTGACCCCACAAAACCTTGGGGGTGGGACAAAGCTTGGGCCTGTTTGCAAGCAAACCGATATCAAGCATACTCCTTTGTTTGAGGGGTGCGGAGATATTGTTCACGGGGGCGTCCGTTGTTCGAGGGGTCCATCGTTCTTATGGGGAGATTGTTCAAACGTGGCGGGGCTGTGCCACGCTTGGGTTTCAATCCAAAGAAGCCGACGCGAAGAGCAGGAAGTGACGCTGACCTTCGCCAACGGCAAGGCCAGGTTGGGCGGCACTGGAAGCCTTTGCAAGCCGCCCTGATTTGCCCAGGATAGCTTTGGTTTCCCTTTAAACCAACCCACAAGGGAAGGGAATCGCAAGCAAAGTTGGCGGTTGGCCCCCAGGGCAAGCTTGGGAGTGCTTTTTGCGAGTCACGGTACTCTTTTCAATTTGTTTTGAAGGGACACCAAAAGGTTTTTTTTGGTTTTGGTGGGGGGGGGGCTCCAAAAAGGACACTAATGTTAAGTTTGGCTACTGGATTCCACAGGGCCAAAGCCGGTCATCTATGGTCCTGGGGTTTGGATCTGGTTGCCTTTGGCTTTCCTGTACTTTGGGCTTTGAGAAGCGCCCCATGTTTTTCCCGGGGAAGCCTTCGCAAGAAGAACATCCGAGCGCTCGAGGTGGAGAAGGCCGACATTGTGGTGGGCGCCGATGGCATTCACAGCGTGGTCAAGAAGGACCTCGGAAGATGTTTGGGGGAGGGGGTGGGTGGTTCGCGCGTTCACGGGTCCGGGAGGGTCAACGGCTCGGCATTTTTCGGAGCATTTTTCAGGGTTGGTTGAAGGTGCCGGTGCTTGAAGGGATTGGGGCAGCATGCTGCTTTTAATACTTGGTTCAGGGGCCAACCCTGCCAAAGGCCAACCCCAAGCAATAGGGCTTTGGTTGGAAGTTTCGCCTCACGAAGGTGTGTTCGGCCTTAGCGTTGGGCGGGGTCTTCGGGTTCTGGCCTGATTGACACGGTTCCCCTGAGCCGAAAAAAGGTGAGCTGAAGGGCAGAGACTCATGGCTTCCTTTTGGAGTCCATTTTCCACCCAATGTTCTGCCGTTTTGAAAGCGGGGTTCTATCAGTTTCTTCTTTCAAGGCTGTTGAAGGGAGAACCCTTAAGAACAGCCTGGTTGGTTTGGATGGCCGTTCTGCACCTCTAAGAATACTGTGATTCAGAAGAGGGAACGTGGAAGCTCATCTTTCCGGAGGGAAGTTTTTTGAAAGGACAACCCTTAACTGGGCGCCACATTGGGGGCCAGTGCCTGGGTTGAAGCCTAGTCGTTCTGTACATCCTGCTGAAAAAGGGGGGGTGCCCGGGGGCAACTTGAAAAGCACATTCTAACAGCCAGTTGCCGTGGGCCCGTGGGGTTCTGGTGAACGGGGCTTCTTGTTTTCGAGCAAACCGTTTTTGAAGATCTCGGATTTTCGGCTAGGAGGCCAACTAATTACTACACATCAGGCGCCCATGATCATGGCTTAATTTGTTTTTGACGTACCTCGCCCATTCTAAGTTTAGGGCCTCAAATTGCCTTCCAAACACCCATGGGAAGGCATTTGGAAGATCAAACTCAACATTACCAGGCAAGAATCCGGCTGGATTCAGCATGCAAGTGCCGCTCCAGATCAGGAGCTCTTCTACTCGGGCGAGCCAGTGCATTCTGGGTTCCGGCTCATCTACTCTTGCAGCCGTGTGCCCTGCCGAGAGAACCCGGACGAGGTCCACGTGCGCCTCACTCAAAGCGACCTTTTCATGCCTTGTGTTTTTTGGTCTGCTGTTTGGCCTGGTTTAACTGGTTTGTTTGGTTGCTCTGCTTTGTTTGCTCTGCTTTGTTTGCTCTTCTTTGTTGGCTCGGCTTTTTGGTTTCCTCTTTTCGGTCCCTTGGCTCTTTTGGGGCTTGCTTGCGGCAAACACTTCTTTCTTTTGGGAAGCCTTCTTTCTTTTCGTTGGCAAGCCTCATCTTTTTGTCGGGTAACATGCCATGGACTCCAATTCTTTTCTGGAAGCACTGGATGTGGTTGCAAGAAATTGAACAGCCTTCTGTGTTTCTGCGTAGCACCCAGTTTTCTCGGACCCTTTGGTCGCATCGAGGAATTGGAACACCTCTGATAGCACCGGGTACCACATCATGGACTGGACTGCGGGCAAAGGGGACAAGCGTCACGACGCGGCACGGCCAAAGACCGAATATTGGTTTGCGTAGAGAAACAGAAAGCTCCAACATTGCGGTTTTCCTCGTGGTTTTCTTTTAAGCCCACCCGAAATTCGCCCTCAAAACAAGCACACAGACAAACAGAGACACATACAGAGACACACCGAGACATACAGACACCCAAGCACACACACACACACTGACACAGAGAGACAGAGAGACAGAGAGACAGAGAGACAGAGAGACAGAGAGACAGAGAGACAGAGAGACAGAGAGACAGAGAGACAGAGAGACGGAGAGCCACAGAGACACAGAGACACTGACGCATGCACACAGACGCAGACGCAAACACGCACAGACACAGATGCACGCATGCAGTCACACCCGCACCCGCACCCACATGACGGGCAGCGCAGGCCTTAGCTTGTTTTAGTTTCCCACACGATGCGATGCTGCTTCTTGCCACAACACCAAGTATTTTGCTAGGGGCATTCCGGGTGGGGCTTTCCAACCCAGCAGAAACGGAGCTTCTAAGGCATCAACGGGCACCAACCCCCGCTTCTCAAGATACGCGTGACGCTTGCTCCATTTTGCGCTTTCACATCAGATGTCCGCTTCAGGTGTGTCTGCTGATGCTGCGCAGCGACGAGCCCATCAGCGACAAATGGGACTCGACCATTGTTAAGGAGCATCGTTCGAAGCGACGCGAGCCGCTTCTTGCCATAGCCTCCCTTCCTATCCTTCCACTTGCTTAAAGGACATCTATCACTGTTGGACCTATTTGTTCACTAGGGGCTTAAGAAAAATGGAGGGATCCTTCCCTCGGAAACAGGCGACCCAGGAAAAAAGGGGTGGTGCCTTGAAGCAACGGCCGCAAGCTTCAGCACAGATTTGTCAGACAATTCTAACGGTGGTTGGCCCTCGCCCTTTTTTCAGTTCTGGGTGCTTCTGGCAAGTTGTCCTGGAAGCAAGGAACCATTCCCAATAGGGCCCAGTTCACCCGCACCTCAAAGGAAATGGGAAAAGCTATTGCTAACCATTTACCCCCCCCCCCCACCATCCCACCTATGCATGCAGCTACAGGTACCCAGTCAACCTTGGGGCAAACCCTTACAGGTAGGGTTCAAGGATTCGATTGCGATCGCCCTCATCCAAATAGCCTGTTGCAGTTCGGTTTCTTCAGGACAAGCTCAAGGAGCTGGCGGCCAAAGTTGCCCCGGACCACAAGACACTGCACGCGGCCATCGAGAATGCGGAGATGTGCTTCGAGCTCTGGGCTGGTGATTCTGCCTTTGTTTATGCAGCCAGGGGGGCCAGGGCATATAATCCTCTTTTCAGGTCCCAAGTCCACCTCTCCGAGCCCCGAAAATGGCGCTACCAACCACTTCACCCCCAGCTGACGCAGCCCAGGATTGGGGTGTTTACATCCAGCCGGTTCTGAAGAGCTGGGTCTCCCCCTGCAAGCGCGTCACCCTGATCGGTGACGCCGCCCACGCCACTGCACCCTTCATGGGCCAGGAGGGGTCTGAAAGGGATATGCAAAATGGGGACGGATGAAACCCTTCTGCGCACCAGGCTAAACCATCAACTGCGTCATTTTGTTCATCCGCATACTGTGGATGGACGCAATCCTGCACCACCTTAGCAACCCTTGAATGGGGATTCTGCTGTAAATGCCAACAAGCAATGGTTCCCCTTTGTCTCAAAGTGGTGCAGGATTTCGCCCATCCGCAGAATGCCCCACAATTGTGGGGTTTCCCTGTGAGCGCCACCAAGCAATTGGCGGTCACTTTGGAGCTGGGTGATCTGAGCTAAAGGATTCAGCCTCATCATCATTCTCTGATCATGATTTGGCACCGTACCTCACAAGCCTATTCTAGCTATCTAGACCCTTGCAGCCCAAATAGGACTTTGGAGCCCCAAAGATGGCGGTGCTCCTTTTGGCTTCGCTTCATAAACAAGGTGAGGGTGCCCTCACAATGAGCTCATCGGCTTAGACGGCTACGTCGTGTTCGGAGGTTTTCAATGGGATTTTGTGTCGTTTGAATGCTTGTGAATGGTTGTCAGTGGTTTCAAAATCCAATGTTGGTGTCCAATTCCTTGCAGTGAGTTTCAGCGCTTTCAATGTCTCTACATGGTTTTGGTTTCATTGTTTCAATAGTTTTTGCAATTTTCACTGGTTTTCACTGCTATTACGAGCTAGGCTTGTCATTGTCCTGTGGTGTTCAATTGTTTTCAGGCTCTAAATCTATTTTGTTTGCACACAAATCAGAGCTTTAAGTGCTGCGCATGGGAAGAACTTCGCTGAACCGTATTCTTTTTTACGTTCCCTGCACCAGGAAGCAAACTTGTACCAACGTCTTCCGTTCTGTTTTCCTCTCCTCCCCACCGAGGGAAGAGGCGAAATGCAACCAAGGGCTGACTTGGAAAGGGCGCTTGTCAACACAGCCCGACCCCCGGAAAAGGGGATGCCCAATTTTGGAACCCTCCTAAAGTTTGTTTGGCCCCAAGCTGGGTTTTACCACAGCGGCCCACATGAACGATCATTTTGTGGGAGTCTTGGTGGCTCAACGATCTTTAGCCTTTCAACCTTTAAGCAAATGACAATTGTTTCCATACTACCAATTGAACGCTAACCCGCGGACCGTCTAAAACCCCACCCAAAGGTTCATGCAGTCGATTCACGTAATCCTGCGCCGGTTGGTAGGTGGGTTTACTCCGATACTCATAGGATTTCATCAATTTGAAGAGTTGGTCTTTCCAGTAGGGTATAAATATATACATATACAGCCATACACATAGCTACATAAATGAATAACTAAATGAATAGATAGAGACACGGATAGATAGATAAATAAGCGTGGGTGTGTGTATATATATATATACACGCATATGTATCAGCTGCTTCCCGGATATCTCAGATTATCCAAGCCCTGAAGGGGGCGAACATGGCCATCCTCGATGCCTGGCGTTTGGGGCGGCTCTTAGCGGACAAGGACGGATGAGTCGCGCGGCAAGCGCGCGAGCGGTGCGGGGCTTCCTATCGTGGTTTCCGCGACCCAACCGAAGCACCCCCCAAAGGTGTGCTTCGGTTGTCAAAAAGAAGTCACATTGTTAGTCCCTGAAGCTAACCAAAAAATCATTTTTCCCACTCACTAGGGGGTTATTTTATGTTATTTTGGTTTTGTTTTTTGGGGTTATGAAAGTCAGAGTTTTGCAGGCTGTTTCCCGTTGACCTACCACTGGAGACTTGACTTTTGATTGTAAAGTCATGGGGCCAAACTTGGCAAGTGGTGAGATTGGTCTACTCGGAGAAAGTAGGTTAAAACCTGGTTATAGCATCCAAGCAGGTTATGACCTTTCAAGTAGCCCTGTCAATGCGCGGGTGTTTGGCCACGACTTTGGATTTCAATATTTAAGTTCAAGCGTCCGTGCCCAAATCTGGAAAATGGCAGCCGGCTGGGCATGAACCCGTCGCTTTTGTAGATTTGAGAACCCCGAGCAACATACACTGTTTTGGCCTGCGTTTGGGGGCCCCCCATTGGTGAGCAGGAGCAATATGTGGCACTGGAGGTTTGCATATTACCCTCTCCTATCAGTCATGGAAGTGGGCAAGGGGCCTTCTCAAGAGGATGGTCTTCCGAAACCCTTCGTGCTTTACTCAGGGATCCATTCATATTTCGGGGCTTGTATTTTTGGTAAACCATGGCAGAACATGAGGTTTGGGGGCCTGCCGCGGTTTCTTTTTCGGGGCCTGCCTTTTCATCGCCCCGGAGCTCGCGCGATCGCTGGAATCGCGTGGGAAACGAAGGATGTTGAGGCGCTGAAGAAGTACGAGGCAGAGCGGAAGGCCTCCGCGGAGCAGGTGGCGGCTTGCCACGAGCGAGCGGACAAGCGGGCGGGGGTCCAATGCGCGGAGGCAACCGGACCATTTGCATGTAAGAATATGGTTTATTTCTTCCTGTTGGTTTGATTGGGGATCTATCACTGGATATATGTTCCATCTTTTCCACGGGACTTCAGCAAATGGCGGGTAGTTGGTTAATATCCCCATCTATAACTATCCTGTGTTCGTTCCTTTGATTCCCCAGCCCGAATGATTAGCCTTGTCAAAGGGTCTTTGGAGCAATCAAGCCATATATGTTCCCTTGCCAAAGCATGTTCATTGGTTGTCCCCTCAAAGTACTTCCCTTGTTCAGAGCATACTTTGTTTGCACAGAGATTCGCAATCAAAGCTCCTTGCGTGGGGCCTAGCCATGCAATAAGGAACCTTTACAATGGTTGCCTTCAGGGGTGACCATCTCCCTACTCCAAGCGTGTTTCGGCCGCACACAAGAGGGTGATCGTTCTGAAACTGAAACCCATGGATAGAACCAAACTGAAACCAGTGGAACCCATCGCTCTGTTTCTGCCAGTCAGTTTGGCTTTTCGTCCCATGTCCTCGCGCTCGGCCTGCCTCGTTCGAGGTCAAGATGAGCTCCTTTATGGGCAGCATGTGCCTTGGCCTTTTTTTTTGGCCCAAGACTTGTCCGTTGGGGTCGGACCAATGCGGCGTTTTCGGGAGCCTCTGGGCTTGATGCTCTTTGGGCTTGGACCATTTGGGCATGTGTCAAAATAGGGACCTAAAAGTCGTTGGGTTTCGTTTTGGTTCCCCTTTAAATCGGTACCGCCAAGAAACACAGCCTCATTTTAGTGGTAAGCAAGCTCAGACTGTGTTTGGCCTTTCCACTCAGGTGCCTTCCGGATGAGTTTGGGTGCGGTTGATGTCAACTCAATATTGCAAGGGAAACAAGTTGGAGATCCTGTCGTGTACCGGTCACGTTGCTAGGGTTCTACGGTTGGGTGTGGTTGATTTCGCAATATTTCGGTGGGCCGTTTTCGTTCTTTGGTATCTTTGGGCTTGGTGTCAAGTTTCTTGGGGGTTTCAGGCAGGACTGCGTGACCCTTTCTGGCAGAACACCCCCCTTCTCCCTTGCGCCGGCCCAGCCCGCCGGCGCGAGGTACACCACCACGGGCTGGAGGGCGACCCTGCGGAACTGGGTGGTGCCTTTCGCACTGCCGATGGCAATGCGCAAAGCGCGGGCCTCGCCCCTCAAGGAAGGCGAGGGTGCAAAACACATTGCGGGTGAGGTTTTTTGGAGGGAGCCCTCTTTTTACGGGGTGGGTGAAAGGCAAAAACAACCAGGAAAGCAACGGGTAACAACTGCTGAACTAATGCTGACCCATTAATTGAGCAGAAGTCATGGTTGATTGAGGGGGGGGCGGGGAGACGGACCGTCAAGTGAGCCACAATCGAACAACCGGCTAGATGATGGTTTGTACTGGACAATCCCAGTCATTGACAGTAGCCTCCTTGTGAACTCCTTTCATTGGTTCGGGTGCACCATTTGGATACCAGGTCTTGATTATGACTCAAGTGATTCCCAAACACAGGGAGAGCCCCTATAAACTGGGGTTGATTGATCTGGGGTGAGCGTTAGAAACATTTGCCCCCGAACCTTGTGCAACTCGCTTCCCCAGCTTTGGACTGTCCATGTTTTTCGGGTTTGGAGCATTTTTGCGGACCAACAGCTCAGGCATTTTCTGGCCAGTGAGTTAAGGGGCAGCCAAAAGGAGGTTTTGAGACACTAGGCGTTTCAACATGTTTGGGACAAATGGGGCACCCTGAAGGTGAATGAGGCCGCGATGGCGATGGGGAGCTGGGCCTCGCCCCTAAAGGATGGCGAGTGAGGTCCAGAGGCACGGGGCAGTTGAGATGGGAGACTTCTTGTATGTCTAGTTTCGGTCTTAGGTTCCCTCAAGCGGCGAGTGACGGCTCACAAGCTGCCTTTAGGATGCTGGCGAGCGTGAACCAATGGGAAAGCAGCAACAACCCCCCCCCCCCCCCGTCGGGCAACCCCCTCCCCCCCCTTCAGGCAAGCGTGCACAATTATTGAGGCAATGCAAAGCAGGTTGGCCATGCAAATGCCGGGTAAACAAGGGTTTGCAAACGGAGAGGTATGGGTCAGAATTAAACCACCAGGGGACCGCAATGTTTCCATTCACCAGGGTTCCACAGCCAAATGAAAGCAGGGCTTGGTTGTTTTCTTAAGGAGGTATATGGCGGGCTTCCGCTATTGGAGGCCTGTGCTACTTTTGGCTATCGAAGTCAGGGGCCATTTTTGTGGATTGGCTGTGAAGGATTGGTTGGGCAGTATTGGTGGTACAGAATTGGTTGCAAAGGACGGTTGTGCAGCATTGTTTCATAGAAACCAGCTACAGGAAATTCTACAGGAAGTTCGACAAATACCCACCAAAATCAGGGATTTCCTGTAGAATTTCCTGTAGTTGGTTTCTTAGGTTGTTGGTGAAGGGTTGCTTGTAAGGAGTTGGTCGGGCAGCATTGGTTGTGACGGCCGGGCTCGGTTGAAAAGGACTGGTTGTGTAGAATCGGCTGTGAAGGATTGGTCGTAAACGGTTGGCTGCGCAGCATTTGTCAGAGATCAGTTGTGCAGCATGTCGTGAATGATTGGTTCTGCAGGATTGATTGCAAAGGGTATGCTGCAATGGGTTGATTGTCGATTGTGAAGGATTTGCGATAAAGAACATGGATTTCAAGGTGTAGCTTTTGAGGACCTCTTTAAAGGGATAACCGCTCCGAAAGAAACGCCGCTTCCCAGAAGTTATGACCATGGCAGCTCCTTTCAGATAATTTTAAGGCGATACTCGAAGAAACCGACCATTCTCGGCGGACAACTATACGCAGAGGTCTTGATTTTCTTGTGTTGATTTTCCACTTGAAAAGTTTTTCTCCTTCAAAACAGAGCACTCTAAAAACTGTTGAGAAGTGATGTTGGTCCCCTTTTCCAACTCGATGTCCTTGCTTTCTTGAACCTTGCAAGTAAGCTACCGGAACACATTGTAAATATTTATCCTTGCTTGAAGCGTTCAGAGACGAGGGTTTTCCTTTTTGCCTACTTGCCATTTTGTCTAGGGAGTTAATTGTAGTCCTGTCATGTGCCATCCAAAAGATGAGCGCTTCGGGTCGTTCTTTGCGCTTTTCTCCCGGCCGCAGGCAGAAGGGTCGTCTGAGAGTCTGCGTGAGGCGGTAACGCCCCCTCAAGGCGACTTGAGCAGGGGCCCACGGCCTACAGCCAATTTGAATCGCAGAATCAAATCCTGGAAGCTGCAGTTTAGTAAGGGACAAGTCCGACAATGAATTGGGGCGCCTGTTTTTTTTGGGGGGGTGTTTACATAATTTTGGGTGAACGTCTTGAAAGCCAACTTGGTGCTCCTTACGTCTTGTATGATGGGCACACTGACTGCTACTATTTGCCTTTTGAAGTTCACCACCACTCCAATGATTTGAGACTCTTGTCGCACCCACGGGAAATTGAACCTTTGGGAGGTTTTTACTCAGCTAGGAGGCCGCCAACATCAGCAGGCTTTCCCAAGGCCCTGGCACTGCAGTTGGCCCAAGGAACCGGAAGCCGCAGGATTTGTGCCGCAACCTGTATCCGAGCCACCGGATCATGAGAGTCCTGGCCTGTTGCGGCGCAACAGGCCAGGCTCATGGTACCTCCATCTCTGGCGGTTCCGCGCGTTCCGCGCGTTCCGCGCGTTCCGCGCACCCCTCCATGCGTCAGTCGCACGGGGAAGAAGCTGTTGAGCTTGTCGATTTCAGCCAGGGTTGGTTGCACATGTTGCTCAAACTCCCAAGCCTTGGTCCCCTTTGAAGGGAGACAAAGTAGGATGACTAAAACATGAGTGGAGACGCCATGTTTAAACAGGGGCTTGGCCCAACCCTGACGTTGAATCTGCGTGCCATGAGCGTGCAGACCTTGCAGTGCAATTCCGACTTAAAGTGTCGGAGGCAAGGGAGGACAAAAGGCGCATCGGACTGCGGGGAACCACCTTTTGGCATTTTGAGGGTCCCGTTCTCAAATTTTCTCTTTGGGTCCCTCTGGTTTCCCTCGAATCCGCAATTGATTTGAATGGCTGTATTTGAGGAGTCCACCCTGATGTACCCAGTGGTGTACCCCAACCGTATATTCTCCTTTCACTGGACCGAGATTGTGGATGGGCTATTACTTCAATTGAATTTGTGACATGTGTTCAAGCATGAATGGTCATGATCTATTCCGAAGCTCTGCCACCTTGGAGCCAATGTCGGGGTATGAATGGAGCCTTTCGACCCGTAAAAATGAGGAACTTCGGGTTCAGAAGGTCCCCAGTATGCAGTTGTGTTCATGCGATGTTGTGGGGGGTTATGCGTCTTAACAGTTGAGCCAATCCCGTGGCCATGTAAATGGAACCCATGTGGGGTCCATTCAAGACCCTCAAAGTGGTAGAGGGTTTTGAGTGGAACGGATCAACAGGATCAATCTGTTTTGGTTGCTATCTTAGACATCGCCTTATTTCAAGCTGCTCCGTTTCATTCCAGCAGATTGGATTTAATTAATTGCGCTCCAAGCCTCATGCCCAATCGGCCAGCATGAATACAAACATGAACCGTTTCCATGTCATGCATATACAACAATGAATGCACACATACGCATACACATATATATATATATAGTGCGAGAGAGCCATGGTCAAACTCCTTTTGTAGGTAATGTTATGGTCGTGGTTTCCTCGCTTAGGAAGCCTTGTATAGAGCTTGTCCAAGATCTCCGTCAGGCTTGTGACCCCCATCCCCAACAACAGGGCATTGACCATAACACAAATGTATGAATATATGTCAATGTGTATATGTATGTATGCTCACCCCCCCTCATGATCCGCGCTCAGCAGGCCCAACCTTCTGATATGCAGGCCATATATATATATATACATGCACCTACACTTGCTATGCAAGAGGCACTGTGCATACCAGCGGAGTTCAAAACAAGGTAGGATAAGGAGCGGATCGCATTACATTGCGCTATAGTACAGTACTCACTTGCCCAAAGCCGACCTTTTGACCTTTTGGTATTCCGATTCTGGTCCGTTTTGGGCAAGTGAGAGTACATGGACATGGACATGGCATTGCGTTGCAATGCATTGCATGACAGTACTGTACACAACGCATGCGCAACTCTGTACGTTTACGTGCAACGTACCTGCACTCATGCGTGCATGCAAACACCTGTGTGAGCGTGAATCATGTTAAGACATCATCGTTTGCTGCTTGAACACGAATACAACCTTAAACCCATCATGTGGAGGGAGTCCGAGTTTTGAGACCCGCCATCATTTGTCTTGGCTGTAAGGGCCGGGTGTGTCATGCACCCGAAATGAAGATGCCACCAACCAGCCAGAGGATCCAACCTGTTCGGGTCCTGGTTCACATGTTTTGTGGCAAGGGAGCGATATGGGCATGTGCCAGAACTAGGCCCGCCCCTCGTTTTGTTCTAGTTTCAAAGGAAACCAGCATATGACCCCCCTCAATCAGCCTGCATCTCTATAGGGCACATAGGTCCTGGGTTCAGCTGTCGGACACCTGCATTCCACCCTTTCCATTTGGCTGTGGCTCAAAACACCGGAATTCCAAACTGGGTTTCCCTCGTAAGTGGAAACATGGACCAAAATTCCTGCGGTTGGCCCTGGCTCTTCAATTTTGAGCCACGCCCATTTAGATTTAGCTTGCGCATCGAAACCGTGAGGCCTATGGGAGGGCCGGCAACATCGACCGGGTCTTACAGGCACGCGGGTGTTTCCGATAGTGTCGGCCCACGACGCCTTGAATTGAGTTTATGGACTTTGTAGTAGCCACTTTTTGGGACGGCCATTTCAGCTGATCAGAAGTTTTCTGGCCAATCCACTCAGCAAGTGAGAAGATGTTCAACCAGATGTTTGGCCCAACCCTGGCCGTAGGTGCGTTCGCCTGGGAGTCGCTTTTTTTGTTCACGCGCGATTCCATGGATTCGAGCGGTTTACCCCAAGCGGTTTACCCCAAGCGGTTTACCCCAAGCGGTTTACCCCAAGCGGTTTACCCCAAGCGGTTTACCCCAAGCGGTTTACCCCAAGCGGTTTACCCCAGGATGGTTGCTTTTTCGGGGACTCCTGATTTTTGAATTCTTGGTGGCGTCCAGCCTTCTTCTCAGGTTTTATCTTTTTAGGGTTCAGTGGGGTTTCGCTTTTAACCAACCCACTACAAGTTATGACAGGGTTGCTCCTTTGGCCATTGAGGATCTGTTGGTTTGACACACGCAGGGTACTCCTGGCATTTATTTATTGTCCATTTTTGCGCCTCTGTTTTTTCTCCATGTTTTCTCAGTTGGGCCGTGCTGAGCAACTGTTTTGCCGTAAGACCAAGCCACAAGTTGGTAGAATGATTTAGTAGGTTTGGTTTTGCCATGGCGAGGATCACTGCCTTTGTGAGGCAAACGGACTCATTCCCAGCGCTTTTTTTTTGGGGGGGGGATCATCAAGACCCCGCTGCGAGAGGAAGCACGTGAGCAAAGGTTTGCGAGAACCGAGAAACAGATGCCGGGATAATGGTTTGGGATTTTGGCATGTTGGTGCCCAGAATGGTTCATTCCCGACCTAGACATTTTGATTGGTGGCGTGGACATATATAAATCCCCACCCAAATAATGTCCACCATCCTGTAGGTTGGTTCCTTTGCCATGAATTTTGATTGGTGGCGTCGCCATTTTTGGATATATATATATATACATATATCTATATATGTATAGCGAAGGTCCGCATGCTAAGCGGGTTTGTCAGTTTTGGTCCGAGACGGGAGCGCCTTGGGGAGCGCCTTGGGGATTTGTCTTCCCGCAGGCCTGGGAGGAGATGCAGGCGGAGGGCCTGGAAGCCAACGCGGCCCGGAGCCTTGGGCGGGCCGCGCTTGGGCCGCGCTTTGGGCGCGCTTTGGGCGCTTGAGGCGCTGAAAAGGGGTCTAAAAGGCTAAAAGGGGCGGGTGGGTGTGGGTCAAAATAAAACCAGGAATTGGAGCGGGTTTTGGTCTATGTTACCACTTACCAGGGCTCCATTTTGGGTACATATGTTTGACCCACAGCCGGGTGATCACCTCCAAAAGGGGGTGCAACCCAAAGTGAGCCCAGGGGCTGTTCACTTGAAATCCCTCAATCCTTACCTTTGGTTACGGCAAGGGGCCTCTTTTTATGGTGGCCACGCAGGGATGATGGATTAGGATTGGCCAACCCTCCAATATGAACAGCCCAAGTGATCAAAGGGAACACTCAATGCTGAAAAAGTCGCCTCGATGAATGCCATGTGAGTCCGTGCGGGGGAAAGCTTCCGGGGAAGTCGCATCAACTGCGTTGCCATGGATGGAGTGGCTATTGCAGAATTCCAGAGGCAAGCTTTACCACAAGTCTGACAGCTCTTTGCACTCCATTGGGATTCGCATGTTTAAGCATGAACGTTTACTTGCTGGTGCTCAGCAGAGAATGACCTTCCGGGTGTTGGGAGTGAGCCACCAGTTTGATGGTTTAATTCGGGGGCATCCCTTGTCCAAGGCAGCAGCCCCGCAGATTTTGCCAAAGTTTCTCGGACGGGCATTCGGTCAAAAGGAGGAGAATCCCGGTGCCTCGGTCAGACCACCTTTTTCACTTGGGGGTTGGGCATGAAGTAGGAAGGGGAAACACCCTTGCTTTAGGTCGAAACATCCTATTTCCATTTCAATTGTAGATTTGTTTTTGCAAATGGGGGCCCAGCATGGATAACGTTTAAGGGAGCCATGTCCATGGCCAGAATAAGTTTTGACCGTGGCACATTTTGCCAAAGGTCCTCAACCTGCTTCAGTTTCCCTTGAAAGCATGGGTTCCTCAAATGGGTATGGGTCAAAATTAAGCCACCAGGAATCGGAGCGCAGGTTTTAGTCCATGCTTCCATTTGCCAGGGCGACCCATTTTTGGGGTTACCCTATTTTTGACCCACAACCAAATTTTGCAAAAAGGGGGATCCCCCCAAAGCGAAACGATACGGAAGAATCTTTTGAGGTGACCTACGGCTGCATGCTGGACGCCTGCGTGAAGTGCGGGCACCTGGAAAAGGCGCACCGGGCGGCTGGGAGAGACGACCTTTGTTTGGGGTCGGCTTCCTGGGGTTCCCGATTTGTTTCTCCTTTTGGGTTTTAAAGATCATCTTTTGAATCTGTTGGTTGGTGAGATCCGTTGTTGGTGGGGCGATGTCTGTGGCGGAGATGTAGAGGACCCCGTCGTTGGGGCACGGTGTCCTTTGGCGCTTGGGCGTGGTGTGAGGGTGATAGGTGTCAATGTTCGATCAGTTTGGCAGAAAAAGGATGGGTGCTCCTGGCTTCAGTTTCGTGCGATTGTTTTTACAAGTGGTTTACAAGTGGAATCCACCTGCTTTACCTAGGGTCAGGGTCGGTTACAACGTTTGTTTAAACAACCAGTTGCCCTGGTCAGCAAAAACATGGGAACCAAACATATATTTAATCTATGTTCTATTGCGGATGGTGTCGCCCAAGCCTTCCCATGCCAGGCTCTGCAGATCTTCGCCATCATGAGGCAGCGGGGCCTGCACCGGAACACCATCCTCTACGCGACCCTCATCAAGGCGGGCAGCGGGTCGATTCGGGCGGTTCTTAGCCATTCGAAGAGCTGCGATTCGGGCCATGGGAACGTAGTTCGACCTTGACTGGGGTGCGTCATCAATAAAGGGGCGAGTTGGAAATCCAAGCTTCCAAAAAACCCGGGATAAGCACTGTGCGGACACTCCCTATTAATTCGGGGGTCAGCATTAGGGGGACCCCGAGAATGGTCGTCTTGCTATTGGCTCTCCCTTTTGCCCTCGAAAAAGGGCAACACCCCCTGTCCAGAATAACACCAAACCATGTACTTTTGGAACCGGTCCTTTGAATTCACCTTTTCCATGCCGATCTCTTCTCCGTGCATGTCAGCGTGTTTGTGGGTCCAGGGTTGTCATTTAGACCGTTTCCCTTCGAAAACAGAAAGTCAAGATGGCAGCCCCCAAGATGCTGCTGGAAGCCGGTTGCACTTTGAGGGGTTGCATTTTTCTTTCTCCACACAATTACTGAATTGGCTTAAGCAAGTTGCCTACACGCATGAGATGAAGCACTGGGAAGCTAAGATCTCAACCAGGTTCTTACCCCCGTCCAGTCGAGTCCCAGTGGCGCCCTTCTGACCTTGGGAAGCATCCAACAAAACGGGGGCAAACGGGAGAGCTGTTGTCAGTTCCTGTTAGTTAGTTTGTACCATATGTTTTATCGCTCGGACCTCTACTCAGGTAGTCTTGAGTTGGTGTGTTAGATTGGTGGTTTGGAGATTTGAACAGCTGGCTTTTGTAGCGGCTCAATGGGAAATCCTTCCTGCACTAAACCACCGATTCGGCTCCCAACCAACTGACGGGCTTCCACCGATTTCCGCCGATTTCCGCCGATTGGGCCTTTCTTCGGGTCGACGGGCGCTTTTTTTGGCGCGACGTCCGACGCCGCCCAAAACGACGACCCGACCAAAACGACGCCCAGGGCTTCGCGAAGTCCAAGGACCCGCTGGCGGCCAAGAACCTCTACCGGGAGATGCGCGCCGAGCGGGTCCCGCCACTGGGCGAGAGATCTCGATCCAGGGCCTTGCGGCTTGCTTCCGGCTTCCTCAAACGAGTAAAACAAGCACAACCCAAATCCGCCCGCCCGATTTCGAGCGATCGATCGCGCGCAGAACGAGGTGCAACGTGGTGGTCTTCAACAGCCTCATCGACGCCTGTGTGCGCGCCTGTGACCTTCAGGGCGCCGCCGAGGCCGGGCTTTGGATGGATGGGGAGGAAGGTCGGTTTTGGGATGGGAGATGGTTGGTCGCATGTGTTTAAGCCACTAACAACAGGGTTTGGGGTTAGGGGGGGGGGGGGGTGGGGTTGGGTGGAGGGTTTGCAGATGTTGCGAGGTTGGCTGCGTTAGTTTAAACCACCGGATTCTGGTAGGTGTTAAGAGGGGAACCACCGCTGGCAGTTTAAGCTGGTTTGAACAGACGGTTGAACGCAGATGGAATCAAGCTGGCTCCAGCTTGGTCTTACCATTGGCGTATTTTAAAACTGACACCTATGGGCTGCAGTTTTCAGAGATTGGGGAGAGTGATCCCCATTTTCTTTGGGCCCCTTGTAAAGTGCTCTCAATCATGTTTGAGGGCTTTTTTCACCCGGCAGGTGCTGCAAGAGATGACCGCGACCAATGTGCGGCCGGATTTGATTACGCCCGGCCCCAAGTTGAAACCTAGGCTTTTTTGCCAGCTTTTGCTCGTAACTTGGCCGACCACCCAAGTATGTCATCGACACAAAGCCAGCTTACCTGGCATTGGCAGGATGGTCATGGACCCCTCAGGGATTGTAGGCATTCCATGACCATGGCCCACGATTAAGTTTGACTGTGGCAGATATGGCAAGTGTTTTTTTTTTTGAAGGGACCGTTTGTGATGGATATCCAGTTCATGAGGACTTATGTCCGCCAGACATTTTGAGAGGGTTCGTTGCTTTTGGTTGGACTGACAGCACGTGATGACAATTGCCAGAGGTACAGTAAAGACCTGAAAGTTTGGCAAGGACAGCTCCAACGATAGATTGGAGATTGGTGCACTCTTTTGACTCTTTGCATGGCTTGCATAGACTACTTAACCACCAGGATTTCATGAGTGTGAGGAACAGTCAATATGGGGGCACCAAATCCCGGGGACGCCCAACGATGCTTGGTTTCCTTTTGGTTCCCCTTCAAAACAAGGCGAAATGGGTACACTCAGAAAAGAGAGAAAGACATCCATGGTTCATTGCCGTGGTCTTCCACCGTCAAAGACTTGAGGGGCAAGATTGGAGTGGCATGTTGTGGCACGGGGTTTGGGGGTCACACTCACCAAGTCACCCTTGGCCAACTCACCGACTGGTCATGGTGGTACCCAAATCCCCTTTCGGCCGTTTTATTCGGGTGTTTGGAGGGGATTGTGACAACTCTCTCTCTCTCTCTCTATATATATATATAGATACACACAAGATACTATATATACGCTCGAAAAAGGGTGTTGGTTCCCTCGGACTACTTGGATTGTAACTTCTTTTTGGGTTAGCCCGCCAAGAGGTGGCGTTGAGCACCACAGGGAAACCCGAGGTTCAGCACGCTCATCAAGGGCTACTGCAGCAATGGGGAGCTGTCCAAGGCTGGGTGACAGGCGTCTGAGGGGAAGTGGTAACCGGTTTTCTCCAATGGAAGGTGGGGGCGCCTAGGTTATCAACACCTTAGTGTACTATCTTGGCCGAACACTATAATCATGACTTGACTTGATTTTACCTCACAACCGCAGTCTGATTGTGGCCCTCATAGTATCTTTTCTTGACATACACATGACACAAAAGGTTTCCTATTGCGGAAATGCTTCTCGCCTGAATTACTTGGAATAAGGGCAATATAGGCCTTAAGGGTTATTTAGATGTAGGGGTTCCCTAAAAAGGGTATGCCTTTGGGCAGCATAGTCTGAAGCGCTTGAGTCTGATCTAAGAGTGGCAGCACATACCTTTTGTTTGTACCCTTTGGTTCATGGTCACCACCCTTTATGCTTGCTCTTCGCTACCAAGGACACCCAGGACACCTTTAGCCCCCTCAATCTTGTGGCGGAAGTTGCACCATTGGACCGTAGACTGGGTCTCGGTTGGTAGAAACTCCACTTCTCGATTGGGTCTCCAACTTTACTTACCTCTTAAAAAACACAACTTTTTAACTTTTTGGGTAACATGGGCTATATGTCTGTAAAAGATTAACTTCCCCACAACTTGGAGTTTTAAGGGGTACGTTTAAGGACATGTCTATGTGGGCTATTCTATGCGGAGCTCACTATGATACAAGTTCTTTACTTGGGATTCCCTATTTCAGGTTTTGGACAAGTTGTAAAAGTTGCAGAGGTGTCAAACCCAACCCAACGAGTTCTCTTTTGAAGGGAGGACAAGAGCTGGAGGTTTCAAAAAACCTCCGCCCGTCAGACGATTTGTTGGGCTGCTTTGGGAAGCCTCAGGGATGGGCTACAGGGGAGGGTAGGACTCCGACTGTCTAAAAGAGGTTTTGACCTGGAGACATGTTTCGAAGGGCGTTTTTTTCGGGTTCCAGGAGCAGGTAGTGCCCGGAACTGGTGGAAACTCCTTTTGGGACATGGACCCTTTTGACCATTTTTTCGGGGTTGCGATTTTGTTAGGGAACCAAAAAGGAAACCGCCATTGACGTCTATGGCAGGCGATGCGGCTGCAGGAGGAGCTCCAAGCACGGCAGCTGGAGTGCGACGTATGGGCGCCCAAGCTCGCTGACCCGTTTCGGGTTTTAGTGTGTGGGTACCCCATGGGGTGGTATAAAAGGGAAGCCACTGTGAATAGGGGCTCCGAATCCCTAGTTTGACAGTTTGTTTGACACATACCCATTTCGTGGTTGGCTTTAAGTACAAGGACAAAAGGCAGCCTTCGTTTTGGCTGCCGCCTTTCAGATTTAGAACCCCGAGGATTGGTTAGGCAAGAACCAACTTTTTAAGTGAACTTCTCGCTGAGTAGGGGGCCCTAATGTTTCTCCGTGTAAAGAGGGACTTTCTTTGGTCTCCTCCTACGGCACAAGACCAAACACATACCCTCCACATTTTGCGGCATACTGGAAGTGTTTGGATTGGCAACAGCTGAGGTAGGTTAATGACCAAATCCCGGCAAAGGAGCCTTAATTGATCGGCTCTAGGTGTGCTTTGGTTGCCTTTGGTTTCCTTTCTATACATCGACTAATGTTAGACCTCCTTTAGTAATAGTACCCTCTATTGTAGATTGGTGTTTCTAATTCAGGATCCTGTGACTGTTTTAGGGTCCTCTATTGTGGAACGTTTTTTGCCGGAAACAACGCTGGACAAACTATGTGCAAGCAAACCTGGCACACAAGTCAGGCAAAAACCAGACAAACAAAATCCGGGCAAACATTGGGAAATCCTTTCCTTGAAGTGGTCCCCAAACCATCAAATTTAAGATAGCTTCTTTACAGAAAAGTGCAGGAAAACAGTCACACACAGGGGGTTGCCCACAAGAGGCCAAGATCGATTCTTTAGTGTGACTGTTTTGGGGTCCAGCTGTTAGTTTCCAGCTGTTTTTGGGGTCCAGCTGATAGTTTCCAGCTGTTTTTGGGGGTTGCTGAAAAAACGGTCCTTGGCAATACTAAAGTAGAATTTGCAATACTAAAGTAAGTACTGGGAACCTGAGAGTCAGCCTTGGCAATACTAAAGTAGAATTGGCAATACTAAAGTAAGTACTGGGAATCTGAGAGTCAGCCTTGGCAATACTAAAGTAGAATTGGCAATACTAAAGTAAGTACTGGGAATCTGAGAGTCAGCCTTGGCAATACTAAAGTAGAATTGGCAATGCTAAAGTAAGTACTGGGAACCTGAGAGTCAGCCTTGGCAATACTAAAGTAGAATTGGCAATACTAAAGTAAGTACTGGGAATCTGAGAGTCAGCCTTGGCAATACTTAAGTAGAATTCGCAATACTAAAGTAAGTACTGGGAACCTGAGAGTCAGCCTTGGCAATACTAAAGTAGAATTGGCAATACTAAAGTAAGTACTGGGAATCTGAGAGTCAGCCTTGGCAATACTTAAGTAGAATTCGCAATACTAAAGTAAGTACTGGGAACCTGAGAGTCAGCCTTGGCAATACTAAAGTAGAATTGGCAATACTAAAGTAAGTACTGGGAATCTGAGAGTCAGCCTTGGCAATACTAAAGTAGAATTGGTAATACCAACAAAAATAAGTACTGTCCCTCCCAGACCCCCAGGATTTTCACTAAAGAGGGTCCAGCTGACTGGTTCCATTGTTCGGGGGTTGGTGTAAAGAGGGTCCAACTTGTAAGCTATTGGACGCTTTTGGGGTTTTAGACGACCATCAGTGCCGAGCCGATACGTGTTTCAGGGAAATAATGACACGAGTCTTGGTCAAACACCTGTTCACTTGGGGTTGTTCGGGATGGTCGATGACCGCTGAGTGGAAAGCGAACTCACTTCCCAGTTGTTGGACTTCAGACTTTCTTTGGATTTGGATCTCAGGAAGTGAGATATGGTTATTCGATGGTGTAGTCAGCTAATTGGCTAGTAACCTCCAGTTAGCCCCCAGACAACCCCCAGTTAACTCCACTTCTGTAAACTCTTACAGGTTTGCTAGGCGTTTCACTAACCAGCAGACCCAAGCAAATAGCCGGGCATCGGCCCCAGGAGATCGTCTACAACTCGCTGCTGGAAGGCTGCGTCAAGGCGGAATTCCTGTGTGTGTGTGTACTCGTGATATCCAGCCTGATCAGCTGGACGTACCTGCTGTTTCAGCGAATCTGAGATGTTCAAACACTCAGTCCATTGCCCTTCATTCAACAAGTGTCTGTGTCGCATTTTTCTTTTTTCTGCTCGGTTTCTGTTTGCGGCAACTTGAATTCAGAGTCCTGGCCGCCCTCGAAGTTACATCTCCCTTGGGTTTCGAAGAGATCATCTGCTGCCACTTGTGACATCTTCCTGGGGCCTGAGGGCGCGCGCAAGGGCTGGAAATGGCTGGTTCCTCCATTTTCTGCTGCATCCAGCAAGAGTTCCGGGGGATTGGATGCGTTCAATGGTTTTCGTGCTGTTCAATTGTTTGGAAAGGCCGGTTTGATTGCCGAGGTCCCTTTTTGGTGGTGAGGGTGTGTCTTCAAATTGGAACCTCAAGTGTTCGAGGGGATCTTCCCTTTTTGATCAATCATGCAAGTGGAGAGCAGACCTGTTCAAAATGACGGTAGACCCCCTTGCAACAAATCCCCCTTGCAACAAATGATTCCCAACTTGAATTTGTACCCACACCCATTGGTTCGCGCTCCCACTTAACCCCCCTGCAAACCGTGCGTTGTAGGGTTCGCGCTCGCATTTAGCGAAGCCTCAAGGGCAGGAAGGGGATGTTAGACAACGGGTCGGATCCAAGAAACCCTTTCGAAGGTAGAGGCAACGCTGCGCTCAGGCGGGGAACCTCCAGCTGGGCCTCAGCATGTTCCAGGAGATGAAGAACAAGCGGCTCGCTCGGAGCCGGCTTTTATATCATATGGCCATGTATTTTAATACGGAACCACCTCAAAAGTGATCGGTGGACATGAATCCCCACCTAAACAATGTCCACCAAACAGTCCCTTATTCAAGTTCATAGCCATGTGATTCTTTCCGAAAAAGGTACAGATTCAATCCCAGATTCCCCGAATAATGCCATGAGGAGGCAGTAGGGCACTAGATTAAGTCATGATCATCAGAGTACTATGCATGTAACTAATTTGACCCTTGCGTTATCCTGGTTCAGAGAGAGAAACTCACAAGGACCCATAGTGCCTAGTAGTCACTGATAGTGTCATAAAGCACTATTTTGGAGCCTAACAGCCTAACCCATTCTTTCCAGAGATCCAAGTCTTTCCAGAAACAAGGCCTGGCTTCTGAAAAGGCCCATGGTCGACAAGAAAGGAGAATCAGCCAAAGGAATGAATGGGCTTGAAGCCAAAAGCTCGAGCCTTGTGGAGGCTTCTTTTATGGGGATCAGTGGACGGTTTTCTTTTGGCGAATTCCTCTCACTCAAGGTCAGCTGAGCCACTGATCACGCAAGCTCCGGAAGTTGGGGCGCGCCGTTTCCAAAAGGAAACGCCGAAACGGGATCCCGTTTCCTGAAACGGAGAATGGATCCCGGAAGATGGATACAGTACTTTGTTTCTTCCTGTCCTATCTAAGGGTGTAACAGTTCTTTGCACAACCATTCGGGGCCATAAAATTGCTTGCTTCAGTTTGGTGTCCCTCAAAACCAACCAGAAGGGGATGGACAAACTCCTACACCAGTTGGTAGATGGTTTGTCGCCTCGTCGTAGGGTTTCATCCATCCCAATCAGTGCAAAGGGGGAACAAACAGAGAGTTCGCCTAACTCCTTGTCTCACTTCCTGAGTTCCGCTTTCGGACTTTAGACTTGTTGGAACGACCATTTGGTGAATACACAGTTTGACCTTTTTTGGCCAATCCACTGGTTCGTTGAAGTTGGTGAACAAAGCTTGATTTGTTGGGCCAATCTCGTTCGGAAGTGGGCTTTGGTTTTGGCAAAAAAACTGCACACTTCAGACGCTGCAGGACGTAATCTGGACAGAACCTTTTTGCCGCCTTTTTGTTCGATGCTTTGGGGCTGCTTGGCGAATCTCCCGCGGTATTCTTGGGCCACGCCGCTCATCTGAGGCGGGTGAGGCCCAGTCCAGTGACTTTCTCCATTCTGGTGAAGGCGCGCGAGCTCCGGCTGGGGGGGGGGGCGGTTTCGGTTTCATGGCCTTTTTGCAACTCGGGTGTTTGTTTTGATGTTTTGCTTGGGGTTTTGATATTTTGATGTTTGGATTGCTTGCTTGCATGCTTGCATGCCTGCCTGCCTGCTCCGCCTGCCCGCCTGCTTGCTTGCTTGCTTGCTGGCTGGCTGGCTGGCTGTCTGGCTGGCTTGCTTGTTTGCGTGCGTGCGTGCGTGCGTGCGTGCGTGCGTGCGTGCGTGCTTGCTTGCTTGACACCACACACCATGCTGGCGGGCGTGTCCTTTTCGGAGGTTGCGCTTTGAAATTGCTAAGGGGAAGTCAAAAGGACAACAATCTGTTGGGTTCCCTAGTGAGACAACCCGACAAAGGGGGTCCCAAAGAGCACTCGCAACGGACAGTCGGAGACCGCTAAAACATCCCTTTGGAAAGCCAAGCTGGAAGTTGCTTGGCGCAAGTGTTTGTTTTCCACCTGTTATATACGTACGTGGTTTCCCTGGGTTTTCGGGCTTTTTCTGGGAAGACTCAGATCTAGATTTGACCGGGGGGTGTTGCGCCTGGATTCAAAAATTAAGTAGGTGCTTGAACTATGTACGCGTAAGTTTTTGGTGATGCGTGATTATGTTAGAAAGAGCTATGCTTTTTGGTTTTGGTCGTCTTGAACATCACCTTCTGGGCTTTTTTAGGTGAGTTTCCTCTTCGTGAGGCGATGCTTAAAGGAGACATATAGGGAACCCTGTTAGCCTTGGCCCCCCTTGTTCGAGGATACGCATTCTTCAATGCAGAGCGCCGTTTCGCCGTGATAGGCAGGCTACAATCCTTTCTGTTTCCTCTCGTTTTGAGGATATCCCCCCAAACAATAAAACAACAAACAAACGACATGGAAAGTTATCACACAACAAACTTGGCAAGTTTGTTCCAATCACGGTACATATAGTGGGACAGCCCCGAGGTTAGTCCACCATTGGTCTCCTTATTTTTAGAGGACCCCCCCCATCCCAAAGCAACCCAACACCAACAACCCATAGAGAAATCTCCTCCCAAGGGAAATGACATTTGTTTAAAACCACCCATGTTTTTTTTGTTCTGAGAATCCAACCCAATGCGGTTTTGTAGAGGGTAAATGGGGCTTCCCGCTCCTTAATCACCACCACCGATTTAGCTCCAAACCAAGAGGGAGGCTGAAACAACTTGCCATTTTGTTTCTACAAATGCGGTTTTGACTAAACAAACCAATGGACATCCACACCACCGATTTGGCTCCAAGCCAAGAGGGACGCTGAAGCAACTTCCGGAAATCCTTTTCCATGTGGGTGTGGGTCAAAAAGTAGGGTAACCCCAACATGGAACCCTGGTAAACGGAAGCATGGAGTCCAATTCCTGCGGTCCAATTCCTGGTGGTTTCATTTTGACCCATACCCATTTCTCGCAAAGGGTACATATTTTGGTCCACTTGGCCCATTTTGACACTTGGTCCATTTGGTCCACTTGGTCCACTTGGCCCATTTTGACATTTGGGTCCGTTTTGACATTTGGCCCATTTTGGTCCACTTGGTCCATTTTGGGTTCCCATTTTTGGACCGGCCCATCTCCATCGCCGCATTTCCGTCGAGCGGCTCGCTCGGCGAATTTCCGCTGGCAGCTCCTGTCCCGGGCCGGGCGCCTGGACCTGGCGGTGCACCTGGTCTCCAAGGCACGCGGGGTGTGTCGCGGGGGCGCCGTTGTGTGAACCGGACCAAAGGCGGGGGTGGCCGGGGTTCCGCAGATTTTTTTTGGGGTTTTCAACAGCACCTCACCTGGAAACTCAGTTTCAAGGGTGAACCCTCCAATTCTCTCTCGCCTGCCTAGCATGGAACCTTCCGAGGGAGTATCGTACCATCGGCTGGCCACAGTTATCCTCATGCTTTTTTGCCACCGTTTGCCATAAGCCTAAACACCCCCTCCGCATCAAGAGGTTCTTTTTGGGGGTGGTTTGAAAGAATCCCATTTTAGGCTCATTTCAATTGGGACTCGTTGGTGGGTGAACGGCCCATAGAAAGCACCCTGGCACCGGTCGATCGCAAGGAGATGCGCCAGATGTATGACGTACCGCCCACGCGTATGGCTCGGGACTCGGCCGAGCGTCCGACCACCGGCGATCCTAAGTGAAGGCACCCCGAAAGGAAACTGCTGGCTGCTAAATGGGCCCATACTTCAGCTTTTCGAAAAAAGAAGCCAACAGGGGGGTGATGGGTGGCTTGTTCCAGAAGTTGAAGGACACCCAGACCGTCAACAAACCGAACCCCATAGTTTCCTGAAAAGGCCATTGATGTCAGACTATGAATTTGAAGAGTTGGAACACCCTCAAATATGATTGTGGTCATAGATCCCCATGTCAGAAGCATGTCAGAAGATGTCCCTCTCCGGTTGGAATGTAACCTTTTTGGATCAGAACCGAGTGCTTCCAAGAAAATCATCAATGTAGTACTGAAGTTGACCAGAGATCAAAGCCCAAAACGTTGGGACATATCCCCAGCCGGCCCCAGAACGGCCGCAAGGGAAAGCTTTAAAAGGGCCGCTTCATCCTGTCGGGCCAAAAGTGAACTCGTTGTTTGAACTACCTTTTTGGGTGGCTTGCAACCCTTATAAGGGTTTTAAGGGGGTGACAAAGCCAAGCAATTTTCTGACTCCTGCATCCTTTCGGCTGCCAATCTAGGCTCTTCTTTTTTTTTGGTGGGGTGCCTTTACGGGGACAAGATCAAAGCCATCAGATGCAGAAGGAGCTATGAAAGCTGAACTCGTACGTGGTCCAGAGGCGCTCCAGACTGGCGGAAAAAACAACCTGCGAAGCAGACGCGCTCCATAGAGCACCACTTGGGGCCCTAGTGCTGGTTGGAGATCTGCAGCAAGCGGACGACATCCAACGACGCAACGACTAAATTTGGTCCGTGGCTCTTTTGATTGCTTTAGGGGGGGGGGGTCGGCGGAAGAGGAGGAGGCATCGCCTAAAACCCGGTAGGGTTCATGTGTTTTGTTCTTTTTTCACCGCCACTCATTTTCCGAAGCGGTTCGGTTCCCATTGTCAGAGTGCCACCTAGGTTTCCAGCGAGGTTTGTTCGAACACCAGCGATTTTATCCATGCCTTCGATATGATCCCAAGATATATATCCAGGGGTTTAGCCATTTACCAGCAAAGAAAAGGGACAAGCCTGAGGGGTGAAGCAAACATCGCAAGGCACTTCAGCGGATTCCCTGCCATGGCTGAATGAAAAAGCACCCTACCGTGCCTTTTCGGGGGCTGAAGGATCTCTGGAATGGAGGTGGCTGGGGGTGGCTGCCAAAATCAATCCAAAATGGATCTCATGGAAAGAGGGCAGGGATTCAACTGGATTTCACCTTTTGGGTACTTTAAAGATCACCTTCTGGTCATTTTAAATACGGCCCTTTTGGCAAGGTGCTTGTACAACACATACACTTTTGGGTAGCTTAATTATTGGTCTTTCGTTGCGCAGCATTTACATATTCGTGGACCTATCACGTATTACCTCTCAATATAAGCCTCCTCAACGGCCTACCCCTCCTTGGAGGCCAAAGGGTGCCTGACAGAAATGATACCCGCATGGTTCCTTTTGGTGGGGTGATCCACAGAGACACATGTCGGAACGGAGGGGGACCAGCCTGCAGGTGTGGTCCTGCTTGGCAGGGGCCCAAGAACTGATCATGACCATAGGCCGTTCTAGTAGGTGCTTCAGTTCCCGCCTTTAATGGGGGTCATAGTGACGCCTGCATAAACCTTTACAGCCATGTCAGTAGACCCCACGGTGAATGGGTGAAATGCCTTCTTGCAGCCCGGTTTTGAGACTCCCGCGGCTTGATACCACTTCTGTATCAAGAAACCTCCCAATTTCAGTTGGGAATTCGTCTCAGCGTTGGGGTGTGAGAGAAGCGGATCCCCACAGCGAGCACCGAAAAAAAAGGGGCGGCTGGATGCGGCCCAGGTGCAGCGAAACCGAAGGCCTGGAATTTGTGGCCCATGGCGGCCGTCTTCCCGATTTAAAGAAGGTAGCCAGGGCGTGGTCTTTCAGTTGTTGAAGGGCAGTTGGTTTGCTTTGTGGTTTCACCCTATACCAACTCCAGAAAAAACGGCGAAGAAAAACGCCAAAAGTGGACGTCCTTTGTGTTCTGTTTCTGGGGTTTCCCTCCCCTTTCCGGGGGTCGGCGGGAGGGTTTCTGTTGAATTTGGTTGGGTCCACTTTGTGCCTCCTGTCCAGGGCTCTAGCTGGCGCCTCTTTTCGAGGGTTGCGAGTCCTTGGAAGTTGTTTGGTTGAAGGAGCCCGCCTTTGGAGGAAGCCAGTGGTCGGACTTGGGGTCACGGCTTCCTTGACGCTGCCACCAAAGTTCTGTTGGGGTCACGGGTGAGTCCACGGATCGGTCAATCGGCGGCTCACATCCGGCCCTGGGAAGGCCCCGCACTTTGGTCAAAAAGTTCCAGTGAAGAGTGACGCTTTGCCGGATCGGGTTCCAACATGACCCTACAGGTGCCTCTTCAAGGGCGTTCCCTGGAATCTCTAAAAACCTCGCCAAGTTGGTCGTTGATTGCAAGTTGGTTTGGCCAGCCACGCTTTTCTTGGTGCTTTTGATGTTCGTTTCGCCAAGCCGAGCGAGTTTCTCCGTTGCCGAGGTCACCTGTTGCCTCAAGGCCCGCGACCTCACGCGTGCGGCCGGGCACCCAAGAGGGGTCTTCACAAATTTCCAGAGCTTGCCTTTTTCACTCTTCGCCTTTTTGACGTTCCTTCATTTTCGCTTTCAACCAGGAAAAGGTTGTGTTTCAGGGGTCCGAGTCAGGCCGAATTTTTCTGTATGGGATGAGACCCACTTCGCATTGCAATCATGGTCCGTGCCGCGAACAACATCCGGCGACAAATTGACTTGTATAGTTTCCCTTCCGGGAACGTGCATATGGGTGTCTCCTCTTTTTAGAGCAACTGCCCCCCAAAGCGGTGAACCGGTTTTCTTTTCAGTTTTCCCCTTTAAACACCAAAAGCCCCCCCCCCCCCCCGCCCAGAGAAAGACGGACCGACCCATCTTACCGTAGAGCCCGTCAGCTTGGGGTTTTCAATCCCCTTCTCTCGGCGCGGTTCGCGAGGTCATGGCCCTGGAGCTGTTGGACAGCGACTGCGCGGCCCTGGGGACCGATGGTTGGGCGTGCCGCCGGCGGGTCGCAAGAAAAACGGCCAGAGGCCACCCTCCCAACTTGTGGGAGGTTAGTTGGATTTGTATTTGTCTCATTGGCTTGCAAATTTTGTGGTTTCCGAATAGGAAAGATGGAAGATGTCTACTTCTAAGGGTTGAACAAGTGGCGCTTAAGAGGTTACCATTGTCGTATCGCCAGTTTTTGTGCACTCCCCGGTGGCTACAACGGTACCTGTCAGCATTGGACAAGGTGTCCCTCAAGTAGGTTGAACATTTCCCGCAACTTGGGGGCCAATTTGGAAGCGAGTTTCTCTCATGTGGAGCAGCAGCAGCTCATTCTTTAGGGTGTTGTCAGGTTGGACATATCTGCTGAACCCTGCCCCTGCTTTTTCCCAAAAGGACGGCGCGTGTTGGGGTCCATTTGGAATATTTCAGGAGCCTCACGAACCATGGGTATGTCTCAAAATAGGATTCTTCCCCCCCAATGAGTGGTTTTCTGTTGATTTCCATCCCAACCTGCAAGCTTTATGCCTATTTGGTTAGATCTTTGGACTTTAGCTTTTTGGTGACGCAGCTCGGTGTCTTCATGGAGGGGTGAACAGCCTCAACAGTCGCAGGACCGGCAGAATCTCGATGTACGCCGCCGTCATCGAGGGGAGCATCACCTCGGGGGAGGTTCGGGGGGGAAACAAGGGGGTTCCTGGCGGGGGGGAGTCTGTCTGACCCTTGGAGCTATTAGCATTTTGAGGGGCTAGCAAAGACTTTTGTGAGAACCTGCTTGAACCCACCATTTGGGTGTTTCTCCAACTTGTTTCGCCCCCTCTGGTGGTTGTTTTTTTTGGTTTCCCTTTATATGTTGAGAAGCCCATTTCGAGGGCAACTTTGAGGATACCCAGGAAAGCGGCTCAAACAAAGCCGGCAGCATTGAATTTGCGAGAATCCTGTCCCCTTAGCCAAGTTCAGCACTTAAGTGTCGTTTTGTTGGGCAGATCGGTGTGCTTCTTCTTCATTTTCAAGGGGAATGGTTTAGTCATTTCTGGAGGCGACAAAGGTTCAATAAGTAGATTGTATTTTCGTGCAGACTGAATACGACTCAGAAAAGGAATATATGATTTCCGGTGTACCCAGAATTGGGTGCAGGGGCACAGAAGGAATCCAGGCAACTCAACAAGTGTTGCCATCCCACCAACATGGATAGGGGCAGCTGGCCCCATTTGGAACTCTCTGTTCATTTGGAGACTCTGCGGTTTGGGGGGTGTTAATGTTTCCTCCTTGCAAAGGGAGGATCCAGATCCGATCGAATTCGACCCATCTGCCAGACCATGCAACCGAGAGGCCTAAGGCAAACTTCACTCTTGATGCTCCCGCTTGATAAATGTGAGGCGGGTGTGCTCTGTCTTCAAGGCCGAGTAGGGACTTTTCTGGGTATGACGTCCAAAGGATCAATTCGGTCAATCTATTTGGCAGACCTTGGGGTTCTTAACAACACTTCCACAAGCAAAGTCAAGGGGAACTAAATTCCCATGTCCGTTGGAAACCACATGTGCCTTCATCAAAAGACCCCTTTGATATACTGGAATCCCCAGGTTCATTCCCAAAGCTCGAAATTGCAAGTGCAGCTTTTTTCCGCCTTTTGGGACACTGACCAGTTTGTTGGGCCTAAAGGAATCCCAAAAAGGAAACCCAAATGGAACCTTCTAGGTGTTCATTCCCCATTCTTTTCAACCACCAGCTGCTTTTTTGTGTTCTGCTGGTTTTCTGATGGAAGATTCGGTTTTTCTGGGTTCAGAATGGACTTGGACATGGTGTCCCCTAGAAACCCGAAGGAACAGACGCCCGGCGGGGCATTTTTTTTTGAGGTGAGCACGGCGCTTCAGCTGGTGGACTGGGCTTATAGCCGCGCCCCACCGGAGGATGCCCGGGGCCCATGTGGCGTTCCGAGGTTCCCGTTTTGCGAGTCTTGGGGGTCTGCTTCCTTTGGGCAACCCATTTTTTTTTTCGGGTAGCCATAGGAAATCAACTGGGGGAAACCTCCGGACATATGGACCATGGTTCCTGGAGTCACTGGCGAGTGAAGGTTGAGGGACAGTCCCAACTACTTGGTCTTCACTACTTGGCCCTTTGATTTTCTGTACCTGGCTTCCAGACCCAGTGCCGGGTTTGGATTGCGACTCAGTTGGAGCAGGACGGCTCGGGTGGCTTGAGACGTGGTTGGCGTCGCTGAATTTGCGGGGGAAAGACACGCCTGGATTTCGCTGGCACACGGGGAACCAAGCTGCAAACCAGAGTTCAGCAGCCATAGGTGTCCTTTCTAGGTTAGTTTGGTTAAAAATAGAAGGCACTGGTTTAGATGGGTTTTAATCCATGTGCCAGGGCCATCTGTTTTTCCTAAAGGACGCAATTTTTCAGCAGCTTTCAGCCATTGATGACCCAGACGAGCTCTTCCCGCTTCATGCGGGCAGGGCGGGTGTTGGGGCGTGTGGTTTGGCAGTTCGCCACGCACCAGCGCGGCGAAGCTCGAAAAAGAGATACGAAACGAACCGACATCGACTCAATCGATATCTTCGGTTCACGAGGCCCTGCAAAACCTGGCAATCCGTGATTTCTTTATTCTTTTCGAAACCAAACTGGCATGTTCATGGGGACCTGCCAATAAATTGCGATTCGCACCGAGCTGGTAGGCCGAAGTAGTCTCTCTACGATCACTCTGTGACCTCCTTCTTTCCTACGCCTGCTAGAGAACTCACTGCCTTCCTCTCTGGCCCGTCCTGGCTTTCTAGACTGAAGCGAGCACACCACGTGTGTCTGTCCACTTGCCCCGTGCACTGCCACGCACGTGTTCTGTCGACGGTTGCTAACTGCCCCTCGGAGGCAGTTAAAAGACCTGACAAAGCGCAAACACACTGCGAGGGCTAGGGAATATGTTTGACTTGAACAGTGATACTGGATTTAAGTCCTTGTAGGCCTGGCTAGCCAATACTTCCAGCCAACTGAAGAAGCACCCACATTCTGTTTAGGTTCAAACACCAGCGGTTTTTTGTTTTGTCTCCTGTCAGGGTCTGTTTAATCAAATTCTGCCCAACCCCCCCCCCTTGGTTTAAGTCCACGTTATGATTAAAAACATGAAAATTACTTTTGTGGGTTACAGCCATTGAGGTCCACTAGACCCCCCCAAGTGCAGATTTCTGGGGATGGCCTTCTGCGTGCGGCCTTCAATACCATCACGTGTCTTCCTTTTGGTATCTTTCGCGTTTTTTTTGGTTTTGCGCAGACCTCAAGCTTCCCACCGTGGCTTTGTTGCAAGCCTCAGGCCCGGGTGGGTTTGTCCATGGACCTGCTGAAGCGCGTCTTCGAGACCGCCGGCCTACGGGGTGCTGAGGCACGGGTACTCACCTGGTTGCAGGGTAAGGTAAGGAGTTTCAAGAGGTGTGGGAAAGGGGGTGATCTGCAGTGTGGGTGGGTTTAAAACACTTAAGGCTTGGGTTTGGGCAATACCCAAAGGTTTGATACATCTGGTTTTAGAGGTTCTGATCACCTCATTTCCGGGTTTCGGGCATTCCTGACCGGCCCTGGGTGAGAAAAGCATCATCACTTGGGTTAGGTGAGTTTCTGACTTCTGAGCTGGGGATATTCACTACGTACTGTGGGTGGACGAACTTCTGCGCCGTTCAGAAGCCCGGAAGATTGGGGACGATTCTTCTGTTTTTAAGTGTTGTAACAATAAACCATGGTTTTTTCATGGTTTCAAAGTGCTGCGAACGGATTCAAATGCCCTCCATTCAGTCCTCCAGTCCTCCAAATGCCCACAGTCCGATTCAACAGGCGGAGGCCCAGGAGACGCTGGACACGGTGGGCCCCCGGATCGGCGAGCACGCGCGGGGCCCGGGCCGGACTCGTTTTTTGGGTTGCGTGCCGTTCACGTGAGGATGTAGCCACGGGGAAGAACCCCCTCCCCACGACCCTCAAAGTCATTGAAAAGCAAGGCCTGAACGCATAACTCCAGTTTCGACCGACCAGCCAGCCAGCCAACTAACCAACCAACCAACCAATCAACCAACCAACCAACCAACCAACCAACCAACCAACCAACCAACCAACCAACCAACCAGCCTTGAAACACAATTGAAGTGATTCGGCCTGAAGGGGACATACTGGCGCCGGCGAATTGTCCCCGCCGACGAATTGGTGACCTCCATTGCAGCCATCGGATTTCACATATAGGTGTTCTTTTTGTTGATGAACAAAACACAGCCTTTTGAATTTAACCAACAAGAAATGAGGCTTAGTCAAAATATCAGAATATCCAACGGTCCATGGTCCTTCCGGGATGGGACTCACCCCCTTTAAGAACGCGAGGAACGCATTCATTTTTCTCTGTCGTTTGAGGGAACATGTTGGTTGCCACTTGAAAGGAAAGATTGCTGTAGAAAATGGCTGTTCAACTCTTGTGAGGCAAGTTGGGGTGGGATTACTCATAGCTGGTTGATAACATGTGACCCCCAGCAATAATCAACATTGCTTACTTGACTGAACGAGCGCATGGAAAGCTTCTTCCGTCGGGCAGATGTCTTGAGACCCGACCATGTCACTCCCACTTTAGATGCTGACATATCGCCTTGCAGATTCGGCGGCGGCATGACACAAACTGAAAATACATCCTGGATTGCCCACCCAGGGCAGACACACCTTCCGCTTGTTGCCCTTTGCTGGAGCCATCTCTGCCCCTAAACGGTTGAGACCCTATGTATCGGACGCCGGGAACAAAGAACCCCGTCGAATTTCCTATGGTTCACAGCATGCTTGTCAATACTTAGTGAGAATCACTCCCACCTGCCAACTCTTTTCTGGGTGCATTCCTGGTGGACATGACATAGTTTGCCCCGATTTTGTGTTTTTCTTCATAGAGGGCCTGGTCGGAATATTTGGTTAGTGTATGCTCATTCAAAATCGACCACTAAAACCAGGGGGACACACAAGTTTCCCCTGCCGCTCAGTTAAGCACGTATTTCAACGATTACACAAGCTTTGCCCATGGAAAGGTTTCCAGATCTCGGTTCTCCCCCCAGCCAAAACCCACCCCCCCACACAGGGCTCCTCAAAAGAAATTCATTTTGCAGCCATTTGAGTTACATGTTGCTTCTTCAACACCAACATCAAGTTGGACACAAAAACCATTTACAAGTCAAGCAGTCTTCAGGTGTTTTTCATGCCGGATCCCTGCCACCCCCTTGTGGCTTTCTCAAAGGAACCTGGGAACCCCAGGTCCGCGGCGCGCTGGAAGACGTGCTCATGCGCAGCAAGGGGCGCGGAGCTTTTGGGCCGTTGGGGGCCGTTGGGCCGTTTTTGGAGGTTGGGGGTGCTCAACCCGGGAAGTTTTTTCCGGGTTGAGTTTGTCACTTTTGGCCAAGGGAAGCCCTGCGATCAGGGAAGTTTGTCCCAAGAGGAGCCCCTTCACTTTTGCGAATCTGCCAGGTTGATAAATCCGGGGTGAACGTTACTACATGGTGGAAAACAGTTGGGCCTCCGACTTCTTTTTGCTGTTTCCTTTTGGACCGGACAATTCGGCGTGTCTTTTTTTTGGGGGGGTTTCTCCCAAATGGTGGTTTTCCGTTCGGTTTCCCTTTTAAAGCAATAAAAAAGCGGGTCCCCTCAAAAGAATGACTAAACCACAACTAGTCTGGGGCCCTTGATGTTTTTCTTTTCCAGGCACTGACAATTCCACCCTTCCGATGTTGAATGGGAGCAGCCCTTTGCCGACGGCAAGTGGCCCAAACGAAAGGGGTGCCTGTGAGAACCATGCGACCTCTGAACATCGAAAGTTTGACGCACATTGTCCGAGTGCTGAAAGATTGGACGAATGGAAGAGCATAGCAGCATATCCTTGATGCAGCTCCTCTTCGCTATGTTCTTACGGCTGCGCATAGGGCAGCCGTGCCCAAGACCTGCGCCGTCTTGGTGGGCCCGTGAGTTTCTGGAGGAGCTTGACGCATGCCGCTCGCTGTTGCGGCAGACTGTGCCAGGAAGTTCAGCAGATGCACAGGTATTCAAGATCCCCGGGCAGCGGGGCAGTTGCCATTTAGTGTGCAGTTGCTGGGGGCGACGGCGATGCAGGGTGGACCGACTTCAGCTACCACCCCGCCCGCCCCACCTTCCACCCCCGCTCCCCCCAAATGCAACCTGATCAGGGACCAAAATTTGGCCAACATGCCCAAAAGCTCACGGTCTTTCGCGTGCTCGGTGCCTTTTAGTTGGCTTCTTCATGTTGTTTTGCAATCTACCTCCTCATGATTGCGCCTTTCTGGATGGAGGCGGCTGAACTTGGACGACATGGGCTACAAAGGCGCTGTGCTGTTTTCAGGGAACCGGCCGGGGGAACCGGTGAGTTGGAAACACTGTGAACGCAGCCAGACCCTGGGAGATGGTTAAAGCGTGTTAGACAGGCGATTCAAGAAGATATGGTATCAACCATTCTCACAACGTGTTTTGGATCAACCCTGATTTGGCCCAGTTGTGTTTCCAAGCCTCCATTTGTTTGGTTTCCCATGCTAATACTAGAGGTGGGGTCACATGGCGCCAAGCAAAACACACATCGACCTCCTTACCTCTTGGTCTACTGGCCAAACAAACCAGGCTTGAAGAACGAGCGGGGCCAGGTTGGTTCAGTTTCCAGTGCCCCCGAAGCCAGAAGAGCAGGGCGGGGGGCCTTTTCTGCGGGGACGTATGGATGACCTTTTCCGCCTTGAAACCTACTTTTCATGGTAGAGGGGGTTCCATTTTGTACAAGAATGACTTCTGAAGGCCTTCCCAAAGATTCCGATACCTTCCAGAAGCGCTTCCTGCACCGGGTTTAGGATCGCTCAGATCATTTGCCTTTGCTGACCCTTGGTTCGAGTTGCGGTCAAGTGGATCGAAGTGCTTCCTTTAAAATCATCAAGGGATTCCCTATTCGGGGGGGGGCTTTTTGGAGTTGGTACACTTGGTTGGGTGCGTTGAAGAGAGACCACAGGGGGCAACCACGCATATTGCAGGCGTCCGGATTTGGACTTTAAACGGCATGCGATTCTCTGGGTCCAAGACCCGCCTTGGCAGGATGCCGCGTGAAGTCGCGTAGAGCCTGAGCCCGACATCTCTAAGATGATTCTCACTACCCCCCAAATCACTATTTCAAGAATCTCAGTGGGATATACAACCATTAGAGAAATAGCCCGCGGTACATGACATGCAACACTACGGTTTTACATGACGGTGAACGCCACTTGCTCACAAGCATTGGGGTAGTGAATAGGTCGGGCAGCATTGCTCAGATCACCAAACCACGCTTGGGTGGACTATTGGTTTTGGGTGCTCTGGTTTCCCACTAGCGGGGCCCTACTGTTGACACTAATTGGCATGAAGGCCTATGAATCCTGAGCCAAGCCGCCAGCTGCCCACGGTTTTTTTTCCATCCACAGTCAAAGCATCTTGGGTCAGCAGTCTTTTTCCCATGGGTCTTTGGAGCAACCCTGAACCTGTGTGGACTTATTTCATTTTAAGGGCAACGACGTCAACAATTCCCCATTTCCAGAACCCATATCCACACCTTCCGCCTATCGAAGGCTCTGCCAAGATTGCCCGGAGCCAAAGTTCGTTCGCGCCGACCGGAGACGCAGTCGACCATGCGGCCTGAAGGGAGGACCAAACAAAACGGAGGGTACTTAGAGGGGGTTGAAAGTTTGAAAGGGGCTTAGTAAGTCTACTTGCAAGGCTTTACAGGGGGGTTCAACCAGGCGTTACCAACTACTTTAGCCAAAGCCTTGGCCAAACACAGGGTGCCAAGACAAGGACCCTGAAAGACAATGATTGTCCCCTCTTTTCCTCGATACCCTTTAAACACCTCGCACAAGGGGGATATTGAGGAGCACTGGATTTGACGATGAGTAAAACGAGGATCAGGGCCGAATTGTCCACGATCTATTTATTTTGTTTGGCAGTTTGTCACATCACATCATCAGTTTACTTGGCAAAAGCTGAGGTGGTTTTGGTCAAGTGAGGTGACACTGCTCTGTGAACGTCCCTATTGGCCTGTCTTACCGTCTGACCACCGGTGGATGTGGAATTTTGGTTGCAAACCGCCAACATAGTCCGCTCCGAGGAGTGAGGGTGAGCCAGGGTGACACGTGCTACCTTGAATTGCCCCAGAAGACGCCTTCAACCTTTCAACCGGCCACAGGTTTATCAGCCTTCAGGCAGAAGAAGGCCACTTAATTATTTGCCCCGTTCCTGTTGGTTTCCTGTTTTAACCAATGCCAGAAAGGTCCCCTCGAAAAAGCACAAGTCCATTGTATCTTACCAGAAACGCATTGCGCTTCTGTAAGATATACCCCTCTTGCCCTTGACAAAGGCAGCCATGTCAACCAAGTCAACCTATGATAAAGCAGAGTCCTTTTTTGGCCATGGCCACTGGGGCTGTGGATCAAGCGTCAGTTGTTAAAAGTTGCGAACGTTGGTTGAGTTTCATCGAGGGCTGATATTCAAACGAGTCACATATCTCATGCACAAAAGCCGCATCGTTTTCAGCGGAGTTTTTCTGGAGGACCCCCTTAGGTTGAGGGGCGCTGAAGGGACCTGCCGCCTTCCATCGCAGGTGTCGCATGACCAGGGCCGCGCCTGGCCAGGGCCTCAGCTTTTGGGCTTTCCCCCCCCCTGCTGGCGTGGAGCACTTTCCCTTTAAGGAGACCCCGAACGTCAGGCTCCAGGTCGAAAAGCTGGGAGGGTACGTTTTTGTCCTTTGACATGACGGTAGACCATCCCCATCCCCCCCATTTTTGGATAGGAGGTGAACTAATCGGCACCGAATACCATAGTTTGTGAAATCTATGGGTTGCAAGTTGGCCCATTGGCAGTGCATGCCCGCCCGTGTCTTGCTTGGCAGACGCCGATTTTTATTTCCCGGTTTTTGGGGGTGTACTTGGATGGTCGGGGAGTTAGCCAGCTTTTCCCAGTTGACCCCCACTTTCCCCCGCCCCCCTTTCAACCCTTGCAAAAAGGATTACTGCCCCATTCAACAAACCTCCAGATCATCCAAGCACGTGTTGCGGTGTTCAAGCACATTTCAAGCACTGTGTTCCTTTAGTTTCCCTTTGCAGGGGACCAAATCGGGTCTGGCTGATACGAACCAAAGTTGCAACCAACGCCAGCGAGGCACTGGGACCAGTCCTACTCGTCCATGCCGCGCTACGAGGAGGCGCGGAACGGGCGGGTGGGACAGGAACTGCAAGTAAGTGGGTGTGGGTCAAAATTAAACCACTAGGGGACCGCATGTTTTAGTCCATGTTTCCATTTACTAAGGTTCCATTTTGGGTACCTATTTTTGACCCACAGCCAAGGAACCAAATCTCTTTTTCTGGGCCCCAACAATGACAGTACTTTTGGATCCCCGTTTGATGCCAATTTAATGGACCCAGACGAGTGTCAACTCATGAACCGCTGAGTGGCACTAATGGAATCGACCCCCCTTGCCGGGATCCAAACATGCTTGTCGCTAGTGAAAGATGACCAAGACACAAACCCCCCGCACATTGGTTTGGCTTCCTTTGGTGCCCCTTGGCTGGGGGCAAGGGCTTTTACCCTGCAAATTAACATGTGCCCGCAAAAAGGTGGCCTCGCAAAACGGTTTTCTTGGTCCATGTGGACCTGAGGATACCCTCACGATCGGTTCGAATGGGAGCCAGCCGCCCGATACCGTCCGTCAGGCGCCGTTGGGCTTTGGGCTTGGCCCTCGGTCGCGCTTGGGCCGGAAATGGAAGGGGGCCATGGCGAAGACTTCAAAGCTGTTCACAGGGGTTCCATGCCACAGTTGGGCGAAAGTAGATGGCACAATTCGGAAAGTCCCCTTTACTGGACCACATAAAGGACATTGTACCACTCTGGCCTGGTGTAAATTGCTAGAAGGGTGTTCGTACTTGGAAGCCAAATTGCTTCGTGATCGTAAGAGACTCATGAGTGTAGCTGTTTGACCCTTTGTATTCCAGCAAAGTCAAAGAGCGTCTGCATCCCTTTCCCGGCTGAAGTCCCAGCCTGCAGTTTCCGTTCAATGACAGCCGCTTCTGACAAGTGGGGCGCTCGAATCCTGCATGCACTCCGGGGAGTTGTTCAGCCCAGTTCGTGTTTTTTGCAGCAAGAACATCGCGACCAAAAACGAAACTTTGGGAGTGGATACAGCACCCTGAAGGCCAGTGTCTGACCCAGCCATTGATGGGCTGCAGCGGACCGTGTCGCAGCGGTAATGTGCTGGCCCACCAGAGCTGTGAGATGCTTTTCCCCGAAATGCCCGGGTCTAGAAACTTGCCCACACTCACATTGTCCGAGTTCCTGATGCCCTTTTTTTTGGGAAACACGACTTTGGGTGCGTTTTTTTTGCAACCCGCTCAGTTTCCCGGTAAACCTCGTGACCTTGCAAAGCTTTGTGACCTCCTTGCAAGCTTCACATGTGTCTCAAATTCGAGGACCCCTGCATGTGGTGCCAGATAGATCATCCAAAAGATGGGGTGCCCCAACTTGAAAGCTCCTAAGAGTACCAAAAGAGTACTAAAACACCTTTAGGGCCAAGAAATTGTACTATCCACAAAAAGCGGATCCAAACCGTTTTCTCGATTAGCAAGTGATCAAATGCTTAGCAACCTAGGTTATGATCGACTCGTGAGCCCCCCCTGGTGGAACATCACGGAGCTGGGAATTCTATAGGCAGTCAGCTATGAGACTTGCAGTGGTCGGTTTGTTGGAAACCGCTTACTGTGTTACGCGCCTTTAAATGATACCCAACCACAAGGCTCGAACGTTGGCATTAGGTCCTGCTGTTTCTTTCTCCATTCCACTTTCTGCCCTTAGCGTCTTCTCACTCCCCGACTTCTTGGACTTTACGCGGTTGGGGAAGACCATTTTAGCCAGTTGGCACCCCTGATGTACTTGGCCAAACGAACACCCAGCCAAAGATGTCGCCTCAAGCCAAGGTGCGAGGCGTGGGACGGCGGCTATTGGCCCGGGGCAGACGCGTGCGCTCGGGCGCGATGTGAGCGGTGATTTTGGTTTGGGGGGTAAGGAGCTGGGCGTCTTGCAAACGGGGAGTCGCTTTTTTCTGCGTATTTGTACTCACCCCTCACTTTGGTGAATGACACCAAAGCCCTGAATCTCCTAGGCAGGCCGTTGAAATAAGTGGGAAGGTGCAATTGTTCTAGCTGGCTTGTTATGGTCCATTCCGCGGTGGTTTTGGTACAAAAAGGTGGCTCGCCTGGAAGTACCGGGAAAAAGGAATGTTTGTGTCTGATCCCTTCAACGTTCTGGGCTTCATCCCCCCCCAGTATAGAGGCCAAATTCAGCCGGTCAAACAAATAAGCCGAAGGCCAAAGAAGGCCTTGGCGGTTGCGGAGCTCTCTTGGTGGTCTGCGGTGGTCCCTGCATTTGAACGATGGATCTTAGTGACTCAGTGGGAGTTGGGGGCCGAGATGTTCAGACCAAGCATCACTGTTCAAAAGAAGGGGTGACTGCTAGCGGCCGGGGGGCCACCCGCATATTGGCAATAAACGAAAGGTGCGAGGTCGTTGATCTGGTCGACCAAAGACAAACAAAGAAACAAGCAATCAATAATAATAATAATAAAAAAGACCCCCTTTGTCGGGTTGTCTCACTAGGGAATCCAACAGATGTTGTCCTTTTGACTTCCCCGTAGCAATTTCAAAGCGCAACCTCCGAAAAGGACACGCCCGCCAGCATGGTGTGTGGTGTCAAACAAGCAGGCAAGCACGCACGCACGCAAGCAAGCAAGCAAGCAAGGGTTAGACCATGGATATGAGCTTCTTTTCAAGCTGTTTGAACATACAGATTTTGACATCGTTCCCAGCCAAACCTTCACTGTTCTTGGACGGGAAAAAGGGTTACATCTTGCTCACACCGGTGGTTCACCGCCAAATCCGGGGGCCACTTCCTGTTTCACACGCGGAGTTGGAGAAGAAAGGGGGTCGGGCCATACTTAATACCAGCAGGAGAGGCAAAATGTGGGTATGGGTGCAAATAAAACCATCAGGGGACCGCAGGTTTTAGTCCTTGGTTCCATTTGCCAGGGTTCCATTTTGGGGTTACCCTACTTTTTGACCCACAGCTATGTGTCACGCCCCGATTCGCGGTCGCCCAAAGGTTTTGGGCTGAGGCCCACAAACGGCAGTGGCAGACGGGTTCCAGGTACTCGGTCTTCCCCTGGAACCAGGAGGTGGCCGGGGCACCCGGGGAGGGGGAGGGGGGGGAGGGGGGGGGGCGAGGGGGCGGGCTCGGCGGTTTTGGACCCCGGTTTTCAAAAAGGGGGCCAAAGAAGACCTCACCCAGCTGCGGGAAGAAGCATCGCATCCGTTAGGTCGATAGGGATACTCGGGTTTGGCAGGTTTTTTTCTTTCTGGGTTGGCCGAGACGGTCGCGTTTTGCTTGCGGCCGCTTTCAAGGATCCGGGTAGTGGAGGCATCTCTTGGGGAGCCGCCTGTGGGTAACAAACATGGCCCTTTATCAGCCCCCTAGTGCCGCCCAAGGTGCCGTCTTTGAAAGGTGATATCAAAAAGGGCCCCCAATTTTGGTAAAGCTTCATTGGATTTGCCTATTTTATGGCGAGCTCACCTGAGAGTAGAACGAGCTCATCCTGATGAG